CCCTCAGCTCTTCAGCTCCAGGCTAGTGCCCTACCACTTGAGCCACAGCGCCACTTCCTGCTTTTTCTGCTGGTGTGGTGCTGAAGAATCAAACCCAGGGCCTCATGCATGCAAGGCAAGCACTCTACCACTGAGCCACCTTTCCAGCCCTGAATATTTTTTAATGGTTTCTTTTCCTACTAGAAAGTCAAGTTATACTTCCTTGGAGTAACGAACAGTTTAAAAAGACATTTGATGACAAATGTTCTTTCTTTTCTTCCTTTTTTTCTTGCTTCTTTTTTCCTTCCTCCCTCCCTCCCTCTCTTCTTTCCTTCCTTCCTTCCTTCCTTCCTTCCTTCCTTCCTTCCCTCTTTCCCATTCCTTCTTTTCTTTCTCTTTTTCTTTCTATCATACATGCTTGCTTGCTCTTTTGGTCTTGTGGATTGAACTCAGGGCTTTGTGTTTACAAGGCAGACATCACTGTACACTTTATTAAATTTTTTAACATTACTTGCTGAAGCATTTGTAAAATGAGGAAGTCTTTTGCCTTTCAAGTAACAATCTTCTAATTGAACTGGCTTGTCTACCCCAGCATATCCACATGTCTTAGTCCATTTCCACTGCTATAACAAGATACTAGAGGCTGGATCTCATACACAATAGACAGTTACTCCTCATTGTTCTTGAGACTGGGAGTGGGCATGTCCAGCATCTGACAAGGGCCCCCTTCCTGGATGTCTGTGTTTTCACTGTGACATTGTCATAAGGCAGAAAAGACAAGCTAGCTCTCTCTAGTCTTTTTTACAGATGTGAATCCTGATTGTGACCTGGTTACCTTCCAAAGGCCCCACCTCCTGAAGCCACCATTTTGGAGATTAGGACTTCAATGTGTGAATTTAGGGGAGTGAGGCACAAACACTCAGACACAGCAATATAGCAAACATCTGGAAAGTGCTCTACTGCCTCACATCAAATCCTTCACAGAGAGAGCAGGAGGCAAATCCATGTCTAGCCTCTTTGCCCTTCCCTCCCTGACCAAGGGGAGAAGAAGTCAGTGCTCAGAGTAAACAAACTCTTAGGGCCTCAATACTGCCTGGCAGCCAGCACACATACTAAAGGTAATTGGTGGCTCGGGTCATGGGTATTCGGAGTCAAGTCATCAGGTGAGCATGGCAAGAGCAGCCCCATTGATAACGGAGTGAGAGGGAGGTGGTGGAGGCACCCCTGCAAGTGAGCCCCTCACAATATAATTGAGATGGGACTTGGGGTATAAGAAGTAGGTCAGAGGCAAAGGCAGCTTCGAGTGAGTGGAATTATGCAAGCAGATATGGAGAAAGAAATGGGGCACTGGAGCCAGGTATCCTGTGAACTAGAGTGCACTCAGGGCCTCTCGTGATGGCTAGGGAGCAATGGAGGAAGTGGTCCCACTGAAACCAGCATCATCTTATCTTGAATCCCAGGCCCATCTCAGAAGAGCCCCTCGGCCTTCCCTGCTAGGTCCCAGTTGTGCAGAGCAGGTTATAAGGAACTTTGTGGCTCTTTAGGTTTACCAAGAGATTCATCAATGGACTCTCAAGTTCATGAAGGGGAAGGGAGGGTAAGGAGAAAAATGAAAAAAAAAAAAACCACCAATATCTAGAGAGTGCAAATGATAAGCCAAAGCTACTTTGTTCACAAGCAAAGCCAAATTATATTCTAAAAATAAGAAGGGGACTGGGAAGGTAGCTCAGTGGTAGAGTGCTTGCCTCGCATGCATTAGGCCCAGGGTTTGATTCCTCAGTACCACATCAGCAGAAAAAGCCAGAAGTGGCGCTGTGCCTCAAGTGGTAGAGAGCTAGCCTTGAGCTGAAGAGCTGAGGGACAACTCTCAGGCCCAATGGCCAACAAAAAAATATAAATAATAAAAATAATGGGCTGGGAAGGTAGCTCCATGGTAGAGTGCTTGCCTTGCATGCAAGAGTACTTCAATTTTATTCCTCAGCATCACATAAGCAAAAAAGCCAGAAGTGGTGCTGTGGCCCTAGTGGTAGAACTCTAGCCTTGAGGTGAAGAGCTGAGGGACAGCGCCCAGGCCCAGAGTTCAGGCCCCACAACCGACTAAATAAATAAGAAAGAAGGATAGAGAAAATCTTCCTGTCATTCCTTTGTACTTGCTTTTATAAATGTAAATACACAGCATGGGAAAGGTTAGGATAAAACTAGTAAACTCATAAATCCCTTTCATTAGTACATATTCTCACATCTTGTACTCAATAGCAGTTTGGTAGTAAGAATCAAAAGCTATAAAATATACTCTCATGGTCTTTCACATAATGATATGCCTGTATTTAACCTTGGGGAAAGAAATCAGAAGAAAAATTATATTATAAAAATATTCACTGCAACATTATTTTAATAACAAACAAATATTTTATAATGCTGAAGATTGAACCCAGGGCCAAACATACAGTAGGCAAACACACTGCCATTGAGTTGTGCTCTAAGTCCTCCATGAAACATTCAAGTGGGATCTAGTCATAAACCAAATTTCCAAAAGCAAAAGGTTGTTTGCACAAATTAAGATGTAGAAATTCAGTGGAATCCTGAAGAATCATTAGCTTGTATAGTCACATGGAAAAGGTTTATAGTATAATTTATAGTATTTATCAAATATCTCTAAATCACTTAATAAAATATACATGCTATGACAATGCTCAAGAAGAAGTGGAAGTAATAGCTGATAGATTAAAAGTTGTAGGTGACACATCATTTGTTTTAAAGATTTCTCTTAAGGCCACTCATGGTGACACATGCCTATAATTCCAGCTATTCAGGAGGTCAAGGGGGTGACACAATAGTGGGGCACTTGCCTAGCATGCTCAAGGCCTTGGGTTCAATCCCCAGCCCAAACAAACAGACATATCTTTCTAGTTTGTCCAGTAGACGTATTAGGGGTTTGGTAGGACTACTAGCAAAGGCAAAAACAATACAGTGAAAGGATGATTCCAACCAGGCTTCAGTGATTCATGCCTATAATCCTAAACTCAAGGAGACTGAGATCTGAGGATGGCAATTCAAAGCCAGCCAGGCAGGAAAGTCTGTGAAACTTTGATCTCCACTGAACTACCAAAAAATCCAGAAGTGGAGCTGTGGCTCAAGTGATAAAGTGCTAGTTTTGAACACAAAAGCTTGGGGACAGCACCCAGTCCCTGAGTCTAAGCCCCAGGACCAACACACACACACACACACACACACACATACACACACACACACACACACACACACACACACACACACACACACACACAAATGGAATCCTTAATATAACATAGCTGTGAAGCTATTAGCATACCTGTGAAACATACCAGCTTAACATACCTGTGACCCTTGCTCCTTTCCTCTGCATACACTAGTAGCATTTTGCAGTGGCCCTACTCTTCTGCCTGGAGACAGAGGGTCAATCTATCTTTAAGAGTTTTTTCTAAGGATCAACAGCTAGAACCACTTGCCTTGTCTCCAGTTTGCCCTCTCTCACCCCAGTACAGCACTGAAACCTCGAACACCCCAGTCTTCCCCTAACTACTCAGGTCCTGACTGCCTTTCACAGTTCTAAAATAATAAGTGAAGTAAGCCAGACCCAAAGAAACATAGGTCCCATGGTTTCCCTTATTTGCAATAACTAGTATATGTCTAGGCTGATCTTATAAGACAAGCAGAAAAGGTCAAAAGCTATGTACATATGACCATATAAGATGATGCTACATGAAATGAATCCCAAGATAGGGACACAGAGGTTTTCTCTTTGTCGCTCTTGTTTTTAATGTACTATGTGAGTTTTTTTTGTTTCTTTTCTGTGTTCTTCCCCCATGGTATAACCCCTGTTTTCACGTTATTTGATTCCAGTGCCCTGCTTCTTGTATATCCATTTTTCTAATTTGGGAAGGGGAAGGGAAATAAAATGCTGAAACAAGGATACAGGTTGTAACAATGAGATATATAAGATACTATGTTGAAAACAAATTTTACAACTTGGTGGGAGGGGGGAAGGGAAGAGGAGTTGGAGAGGTAGGGAGGAAAGGGATGGTCAGGGAAAAACAAAGGAGGGGGTAACAATGCTCGATAGGAAATGTACTCATTACCTTACTCATGTAACTGTAACCCCTCTGTATACTATCTTTACAATAAAAAATCTAAAATTTAAAAAAAGAATCCAATGTAAATCAAAGGCTGCAACATATACTGAACTGCTCCCACCAGAAACAGATTTCTCCATCTACACCAAGCTGTAATTACCAGGAGGCAATGCCAACAAGAAAAGAGCTTCAAGGAAACTGGGCCAAAGACCCTCTCCCCCTCATTTAAACAATGTGCACACTCTTTTCTACTTAACCCACCCCATCTCATCCTCCCTCAGAAACTCTGAAACTCTTTTGAAAGATACTGAGAGCCACAGTTTAATAGGCAAGAAGGAAGTTTGCAAAGCTTGATTGACACGACTTAGAGCCAATATACATCACCCTGAAGAAGTGAAGAGGCTGGCTCACAGAACCAGAAGAATATGAGATCATTGTTTCATAAGATTGGAAATGATCTTAGGTTTATAAGATTGGAAGAAATGTTGAGGGGTGTGTGTGTGTGTGAGTGTGTGTGTGTGTGTGTGTGTGTGTGTACACATGGTTGAGGGAGTAACTGTAAATGAAGTAACAAAAAAGAGTTCCCAGGCTCAGAGATAATGTACAAGGACTCCTTTGGTAAGACCCACTTTAAAGCCCATGTATTAGTTGTGTACACTTTGAACCAAGCCCTGTCATTCCCTCTTATCTTCAGATAACTTTCTTCTTCAAAGACATTCCTAAGAATTGCTGTCATATCACACTCAATGATTATTTAACAGCTGAGGAAGGAGTCTCCAGACAGCCCGCCCTGCTTGGACCCCCATGCGCTCTGCTAGTCTGAAATCTCCCGTGGGACCACAGTGACACTGGGGGTGGCACAGGCCCCGTCATGCTCAGCGGCCTGGTCTCTCACAGGAAGTGACTTACCTTCATGAGGGGCAATGCAATCTCTTCGGTCACAAGGGTTATTCCAGGAATTTCCTATGGTAGAGGGGAAAAAAAAAACATGCCACAACTGTTTAACATAGCAAGCACACCAGCTCAAGCCTTCAGGAAGTGTGTTCTGCATAGACAGGAGCTGAAGACAGCTTCCACAGTGCTACTCTCTACTTTAAATAAACTTTGTGGTGTATAAATAACAGTGAGCAAAGCCTATCTCTTGCTTTGGGAAGAGAACTATTCTTTAAATAGTAGCTGACAAGGTCTCCAAAGGAAAAGAAGGGATTATCATGAGAAAGTGCACTGCAATACTGTATCCTTTCATTCATGTCTATTTAAGAAATGAAGTAAATTTTATTTGTACCATCACAGGAATAAAAAGAAAATGTTCTATTATTTATCATCACGGTCCTCCTCCTCCATCTTTTTATGTGTGTTAAAGTTGGTCCTGGTCTAATTAGAACATACCAAAATGCATTCTATTTGTCTTTCCTGTACTGGAAGCTGAGCCCAGAACCACACATTTGCTGGGCAAGTGCTTTGCTACCTACTTGAGCCATGCTCCCAGCTCTTTTTTAGTTTGTTTTACAGATAGGATCTTGTGCTAGGGACTGGAGCCACATCAGCCCACCTTTCAAGAAACTGGGATTATAGGTGAGCACCACCACGTGTGGCCTTCCATGGGATTCTTACGTAGTTTAAAAAAAGGTTCTATACCTCATTATCCACCATTATTTCAGACATGCAGCATTGGCTCCATGCCAGGAAATTGGAATGTCAAACATTTCACTAAGGAGTGAGTATTAAAATGTGTTTAAAAGGATAAACTTCCAAAATTACACTCCATTCACTGTTATTGTGAAACCTATCTCCATGGTAACTGTGTAGTTAGCCTCTCATCTGGTCAGTCCAGATTTCCTTTCAAAAGTGACTAATGTGAGAAAACAATTTAGAAGTTGCTACGTAAAATTAGAAGTTGCTGCTTCTTAGAGCTTAAATGACCTGGGTTTTACAATCATGAGAAAATAAATCATGAGAAATACATTTTCATGAAATACATTTCATGAAAATAAATCATGAGAAATACATTTTCAGAACATCTGGGTAACTGAGTTCTCCATACAAGAGAAAGCTTGTGATTAAACGCTACTGCAGAAGCTGGATGCTGGTGACTCACACTAATAATCCTAGCTATTGAGGAGGCTGAGATCTGAGAATCGTGGTTCAAAGCTATCCCAGGGAGACAAATCTAAGAGAATCTTATCTCCAATAAACTTGAAGAAATCAGGAACTGTTGGCATGGCTCAAGTGATAGAGCTGCAAGCCAAGATCTAAAAAGCTAAGTGAGAGCTAGAGACTCTGAGTTCAAGCTCCAGTATTCCCCCCTTCTGAAAAAGAAGTTACTGTAGCAGACTTCATCCATCACTGCTAGCACTACTCAGAAACAGCTTTAAAACTGCATGATTGTTTTAAGCTCTGAATAGCATTTAAAATGGGTATAATTATATTCAAATAACTATAATTATTTGCAAAACATTATTCAGGATTATCAATTTGCAAGAGCAACTTTCTAAAAATCTAAGTCAACTCGGTGCCAGTAGCTCACTTCTATAATCTTAGCTATTCAAGATCACAGTTCAGAACCAACATGAGTAAAAAAAAAAAAAAAAGTCCATGAAAGTCCTTCTCAAAAAATAACCACTCTAGGGGCTGGGAAGGTGGCTCAGTGGTAAGAGTGCTTGCCTTGCATGCAGAGACCCTGGGTTCGATTCCTTAACACCACATAAGCAGAAAAAACTGGAAGTAGTGCTGTGGCTAGCTAGTAGTAGAGGGCTAGTTAGCCTTGAGCTGAAGAGCTGAGGGACAGTGTCCAGGCCCAGAGTTTAAGCCCCATGACCGGAAAAAAAAAAAAAACACTCTAAAGACATGTTGTAATTGTGGCACAAGTGGTAGAGCAAGAGCCAAGCAAGCCTGAGTCCCTGGTACTACCAAAAAAACACATTTTTAAAAAAATCTAAGCTAATTATCTCCATACCAATGAGAATGAGTGAAATTGCTTTCGTCTGCGGCAAGTTTGTTGTTGCTATTGTTGCTGTTGCTGGTTATCATTACAGGGGCTAGAACCCAAGCATTTGTCTGCCCTGGCTGACTCTGAACCAAGATCCTTACATGTCTGCCCCCTGAGTAGCTAGGATTGTAGGCATGAGCTACATTCACTTGGCATTACTGTAACAAGTTGCCATTACAGTTGTAATGTAATGTGGGTTGGAGATGGAGAAATGGCTCAAGTGGTAAAATGCCAAACTCGTAAGTTTGAAGCATTGGGTTCACATCCCAGTACTACCACACGTGAAGAAAAAAAAAATTGTGGATTTGGAAAGATGACATAACATTGCTAAAGATAAATAGAAATTCACAGAACTTTAAGATTAGAAGAGGTCTTTAAGGTAATCTACTCCAACCACAGAAATGTTAGAGCAGCATGGTTAACACCAAAATGAACACAGTACTTCAAGGTTATAACCATGGGTTTCTTAGGTGTTCTGTGGGACTTCCCTGGAGTCAGTCCTGTCTATTTTCCCCCAATGCTTCTATACTCCACGCACAGGATCTTGGAAATCAAGCGTCAAACACTGAATAGAACAATAGCCTCATGCAACATGTTCTGTCTTTGAACACAACTCTGGGACCAGTGGTCCCAGCCCTACCCCTGAGACCCCTCTAACATAAGGCTGAAGAGCTTGGGGGAAGATGGGGCAGAGATGCACACTTCCTGCAGAGGTGTGACCTGCACACTTCCTGCTGTATAACCACAGAGTCTGCACATAAAAGTGTTCTAAAAGAAACCAGCAGACACCTTGAAAGGGACAAGCCTGGCTCTTTCTTTCCGTTACAATGAAACCTGAAAATCTAATAACTGTAATGGAAAAAGACAAATAAAATGGCTTCCAGAAAACCACTGCCCCACTGGGTCCATCAAAAAATTTTAGAAATGAATCAAAACACACTTGAGAAATCTTTTTCTCTGACTTCTATTCGTCCCATTTTATTCTTTTTTATTAGCATACATTAATTGAAAAAAAGATGTTTCATTGTGCTGTTTCCCTAAATGCATACAGTAGTTGTTGACCCATTACACTCCTGTATTGTATGCTCTAACAAACTCTAACCTTCCTTGTCCCTCCCCTCCTTTTCATACAGAATTCAGTGGCTTTCTTCATTCTATCTTTGTGGAGAAGGGATATGAAATGACTCCTAGTACCTTCTTCCCCCCACTATTCTTCTCCCTCCCAACCTAGCTCACCTTTTACGTTCATGTCCTATTGTTTTTATCATTGTAGGTCCAGATTTCACATATGAACAAAAACATGTGCTATTTAACTTTTTAAGTTTGACTTTATTTTTTTTCCTTTGAGACAGGAGCCTCACTATTTGGCTCTGGCCTAGAACTCAATTCTGTGCCTGTACCTCCTGGGTGCTGGGTTTACAGTTGTGCACCACCATGAGATAGCATAAGAAGAAGAAGACCTAAATTTAGACATGAAGTTCATTTATGTTTTAACATACTTCCTATGCATAGTCTCAGAGCAATTTAATGAACCATTTTTAGTGCATGTGCATTTTGACAGCTCGATTGCAAGAGGTCAGGGGTGAAATTTTTCAGCTCAGGGGTGAAATTTTTCAATGGTAGCATCATGTTGCTTCTCAAAGTTTCAGACTTTGGAGCATTTTATATTTCAGATTTTCAGATAAGAGATGTTCAACTTTCTGCCAGGAAATTTCAATTCTGCTCCTTATCAGTCAAAACAGAAATGACATTACAACTCAGGAACCATAACAGAGATGCCCTGCAACTGACCCACAACCGTGACTTGATTTCAATTACACATAGAATACAAGGGAATGACTAACCATGTTCCAAGTGAGCACCGAGGACCAAGGAAAGAGCATGGCCACCGTGCAGGACTCTAGAAATATGCTCCAATAGGAAGAGGCTGCAGAGAAGAGACATGACTTAATACAAATAAGATTTGTATTATAACTTAGCCAAATCAAACAAATCAATATGTGAATATGTGTTTTCACTGCCTAATCTGTCATCCTCAGAAGGTTAATGATTTTGAGGTTATCTACTGACTAAAATGTTTGGGTTTTGATTTTTAAAAAAAAATCTCAAGACAGGCACTGATGGTTCACATCTATAATTCTAGCTACTCAAGAGGCTGCCATGTGAGAATCATGATTCAAAGTCAGCATGGACAATAAAGTCTATGAGATTCTTATCTGCAATTAACCACCAAAAATCCAAAAATGAAACTGCGGCTCAAGTGGAAGAGCCACAGCCCTAAGTGAAAAAACTAAATGACAGAGCCCTGAGTTCAAGCACCACACACACACACACACACACACACACACACACACAGAAAATTTCAAACCATTTCTTATTTGGTACCATGTCTACCAAAATGACACTATGCTACTTGATACAGAGCCATCTAACATAAACTACGCTGGCAAAAAAATAATAATAAGGTCATAGACTCAAAATCTATCTCTGATACCAGTCTTTAAAAGCCACAACTTCTCACAAAAACCACAAGAGAATGAAATTTAATTAGCTGCTGACTGCAACAGGAGTTGGGGGCAGGGAAGAACTCTTCAGTAGCATTTTTACAGCTGGAAGCACTCATTGTCAACTTACTGATTTCCCTGAAGAAAAAGGGTCAAGATTCAGCATAAAGTATCACATCAGCAAACTCACCAATTAGAAATTCCTGAAGGAGGTCAAATGAATGGCAGGCAGTCAAGTTCTCAGAAATCCACTGAATAATCTTTAATAGATAAGATGATAGATAGAACCCTGTTGGTACTTGAATCTGTATCCAGTGACCCCACTACCAAAGTGCAAATCTATGATATGCTATACATACATATGTCTTTTAAATTCTGTATCTGTTTTTGAATTTCATAAGGTTATATTCACTTCCACACTATTTTCAAGAAATATAAAGTATTTAAAATGACAATTTAAAGAATGTTGAAAAAGAAATATAATTCTGAGAGAGTAAAATAATATTATAAATGATGCCTCTCTTGGGTGAGAGTATTACTGGGATTTGAACTCCAGGACTCCTACTTACTAGGTAGATGCTCTACCACTTGAACCATAGCCAAAGCCATTTTTTACTTGAATTATCTTATGATTAGTCTCCCATTTTTGTTTGAGATCAGCCTTGGACTATAATCTTCCAACCTATGCATTCTATATAGTTGGGATCACATACATGCATCATAATTCTGTTTGTTGGTTGAGATAATATCTTGCTAGCTTTTTGCTGGGAACCATGATTGTCTTGATCCCCACTTTCTGAGTGGCTGGGATTACAGATGAATGCTACCACACCCTGGCTCACATCTTTTTAACAAATTCCCTTGGCTAGGATCCAAACATAATACATTTGTTTTCACTAGGATAGATCATATTTTGTGAGGCATAGCTCTAGTATCAAGTGTGAGAATATGAGGTCAAACTCCAGTAACATAAACAAATAAAAACAAATAAACTGGAATGTAAAATACAAATATAAGCTACCAAATGTAATAAGCACTTGCCACCATCTCTTTTCACTTTGACAATTATCTACACTAAAGACAAGATACTGAGAGAAAACAAGTATTTGAGAAACCCATTATTTACTCAACACTTCTTGCAATGTTACTGGTATAGCTAAACATGTGTCCACCATATTAAAAAAAAAGAATATAGTACTTTCCCCTTATGTTTAGAAGATACATTCCAGACTGCTCAGTGTGTGTCTGAAGCCAGACAGGCTCAAACCTTAAACAACATTAACAAGTTAATGCTTTTTAACTTCTTCCTTAATAGTTTCTCACTTTAGGGTTTCTCTTTAAGATACCTGAACTGCCAGTATCTGTCTCTTGCATTTTGTGGCCATTATAAAGCCAAATAAGAGTATTTGACCACTCTTATTTATCAAATAAGAGTATTTGATACTGTGACCATTGGCCTGGGAACCAAAAGAGCCGCTAAAGTGACTGAGGAGCAGGTAGCACACATACCAGAGCTATACTGGACCAGGGATAAGTCATGATCCAGGCAGAATAGAAAAGGATGCCAGGAGGCTCCATCAGCCCCCCTGAAACAGTCTGCAACTTAAAACATATGAGTTGATTATTTTTAGGACTTTCCATTTAATAGCTTCAGATTTGCATTCATCGAGGGAAATCACAGGACAAGAAAGAAGCCTTGCATCCGAGGGGTCTGCTGGGTCAGGAGGATAGAGGCAGCCTCACAGTTGGAGGCCTGGTAATCAAGCCACACACACACACACACACACACACACACACACAAAGTAACAACAGTGAAGAATATGTTCAAGTCAAGACAAAGGACATCATCCATGGTCACATGACTACTACCAAGTCAAAGTGACCCAATCATTTTCAACCACTAGATCATTGCGTTAGGTAGAATGTATTTACCAGTGCTTACACATGAGCTATACTCTCACCTGGCCTTCCAGGAAACAGGGGTCTCGACCACAGGAAAGCACACAGTGCAAAGCAGCTATCTTTTCCCAATCCAGGCTGGTGTTCCACAGGAACCACAATAAATAGGACTGGTCTAAGAATGCTTGGTAGAGCTTCCCAGAACACCAGTCCAGCATCCGGGAACCTGACAGCGACCGTAAGGGACAATGAGGTAGCACATCGAACATTTTATTGTTTCCTGGTAAACAATAAAAGTCAACAAGCAAATTAAAGAACCTCTTCTCATCCAAACAGAGAATTTAAATGTCAAAACAAACCCAAATGAGTCATACTTCTGAGAGGAAAAAGTAGATCCATACCTTTCAGAAACAGATTGTGGCACCGCAAGTCTGGATATTGAACGTTGAGCAAATGAAAGAAATGACCAGGTAAGTAAACAGCCACATAATAGCCTGGAGAAGATTAAGATTTAGGTCATTTATATGTAGGAAAAGACATGGTTTCAGACAAAGTCCAAACCTACACATAATCTCAATTTTCTCCAAACCTCTCAACACACACATTTTACCAATATAGTCATAAACTATCTGATGCCAGTAGATTTTATCTTGCTAGCCAAATCTCAATTATTTCTGTGACTGGTTTTCTTCAGACATTTAGCAGAATTGTCTTAATTTATACCTATAGTTTTGTTTCAGACATTTAGCCATAATTGTTTTAACTTATACCTATAGTTTTATTTGTAAGTCAATTATGCCTTTCAATGATAGCAAGTAACCATGCCTTAATCTGAGAATCTTAGGATTTCCTTCATCATTTCTGCCAGGTTGAGGAAGCACTCAAATGAGCTTTGGTTCATTCGCTGTCTTCATCATTTTGTTCAAAGGAACTTCAAATACATATTCAAGACAACTTCCATAAGAATTCTGACATTTGTAAGGTATTAATTTATTTCCTTGCATTGTCAGCTCCCTAGAATTTGCAACCTCCAAGGTCCCTATAGGCGGTATTTGTGTAACTAGAACATTCATCCCCATATTGAGACATGATGTAGAAATAGGTTTCTGGAGAATGCAAGGTGGCTGGGGGGCGGGGGGAGGAGGATATAGCCCTGGCTAATAAGTTTCCTAGGATTTTAGAAAAGCAGAGAATCTCATATTAATTATGAATTGCATATAGAAGAAACATTTGGATTTTAAGGGTGCCAGTCAGATTCGCTTTTCTAAGAAGCAAAGACACATATGCTAATCATTTGCATGGAAGACAGTCTGTGACAAGGGAAAGAAAGAAGATTTAGAACTCTCATCAGGTGACTTAGGTGTCCTTTCATAATTCATGGGTTAAGTTGTGTGAAAGGGCATAACACAGATGATTGTAACAGGATTGTTACCATGGCAATATTTTTACCAAAAAAAAACAAAAACAAAACTGTGAGGTACAGTGGAAAGGTGTGGGGCCTCAAGTGGCCAAGGTTAGCTTCTACCTCTGCCACTTCACCAGGTAATTACAGTGGTCCAAGTCTCTGGAAGGAAAGCAACTGGGAATGTAAAAAGGATGTTCTGGTGTGATGACAGTTGGGGTTAGGGAGGCAAGTAGCTACCAGCAATTGATGAGTGAGCTTCAGAACATTCAGTTCCTCTGTTGAGTAGGTCATCCTCAAAGAAAGTATCTCCAGAAACGTCAGTGAGACTTGTAGTAGAGTAGATGATGGGCCATGAGAGTCCCTGGGACTCTGTTAACTTCTGTGATGAAAAGAATCTTGTAGATATGAGTAGGATCTTGAGATGGGTAGAGGACCACAGAGTATCCAGGGAGAGCCAATGTAATCAAAGTCTTTGTAAAAAAGGGGATTTGCCTATGGAGGAGAGCCATGCATGACACCAGTGATTGGAGTGATGTGGTCACAAGCCAAGAAAAGCTGGCTTCTAGGTATGGAAGGAGACAGAAACAAATTCTTCCCTGGAGTCCTAAGAAGGAACTAGTTCTGCCCATATCTTGATTTCAGCTCCTCACAGCCCTTTCAAACGTCTCATCTCCAGATCTCAAACAGGTTATTTGGGTTGCTTTAAACCCTAAGTGTGTGGTAATTTGTTACAACAGCGATGAGAAACTGATATGCTCTCATCAGAGAGACACAAAATCTCAAGTATTCATCTCATCCTGTTCAAGCCTCAGTTTCATTATTTGTAAAGTGGGGATGCTATCACCAAGCAAAAGTTTTGTAAGGTCTAAGATAAGTAAAATATTTAGCTTATAGTATTCATTAAGTAAATAGTATGGTTTGTCTGTTCTGGGGTTTAAATTCAGAGTTTCATACTTACTAAGTAGGTGCTCTACCACTTAAGCCATGTCTCCAGCCCCTCCTATTTTGGTTATTTTTGAGATAAGACTATTACTTTTTGCTCAGATTGTGATCTACTTAATTACATTTTCTGCTATAGCTTGGATGACAGGCAAACACCACTGCACTTAGTTATTGCTTAAGATGGGAATCTGGTGGACATTTTGCTCAGGCTTGACTGGAACTGTGATCTTTTCAAAATAAGCCTTCTGATTAGCTAAGATTATAGGTGTTAACTTATACTTTGGCAGTCTTGGATTTGAACTTAGGACCTTGTGTTTGCCAGGCACTCTGCTGCTGAGCCACACCTCCAGTCCTTTTGCAAGTATTTGTTTTCCATAAAGGGTCTCACTTCCTGCCCAGACACGTGTCTAAACTACAATCCTATTTTAGACTTTCCAGTATAGCTGAGCTGGAAAGCAAGCATGTCCAGCATCTTTCTCTTGGGATTAAGTCTTATGGACTTTTCTTCCCAGGCTGCACTGCAACAAAAATCCTCTCTATTTTAGCTTCCCACATAGATGAGTGTGTGCAACTGTCCTCGCTTATTGGTGGAAAGGGGTCTCATAAACTTCTCTGCCCAGCTGGCCTTGAGCAACAATCCTTTTAGTCTTAGTAGCTTCTTAGTAGCTAGGATTAGAAGCATAAGCCATAGACACCTAGCTATAAACATCTTTATATAGCTGTGTATGGAGTTGATTGGAAAAAATTTTAAAGCTCTATTCTTTAATATTCTAATCAATAAGAAGCTTCTTTTAACAAGTTAGCAATAAAGGGAAATTATAAGAAATTAATAGCAAAACACACATCTCCCAGCAAATACTGCTGTCATAAAAATTCCCCTTAGAACAGTTTGAATCTTGGATACAATTTTGTGCCTATAAAATAAATGGTGCTTAAGAAAAAAAGACAACTTAGATAAGACAGTCTATTTTTACAAGCTCTAGTATTTCTGCCCTTTCCAAATTCTGAAGACCACAGATTAAATCATGCCTGCCCTTTTCAAGTAATTCCCAGGGGGAGTTTGGGGGGGGAAGGAAGATACCTTTGCCCTCACAAAATGCTATGGGCTTTCAGTGGAAACTTCCCACATCCCTTTTGAGATGGGATGCTGATGCAGCATGGCTGATAAGAATCGAGTCCCTGACCCAGGAAAGCTTATATTTCCCTCCCTTATCACAGGAAGCAGTAAAGCCAGGCCTCTCAAGTCCATTTCCCACAGCTTCTGAGCTCATGTCAAAATGTGCCACATTCTGGCCTGCTTAGCATAAGACACTGAACCTCATCCACAGTACCATCCACCAACTTTGTGTGGACTTATTTATGCTTCTCACTTCCCTCAGCTCCTCACATCATACCTCCCTATACCTTTGTCATTTCAGCAAAGGGATTGGGGAATGGGAAATACTTAAGAACTATAGACTATAAGTTGGAAGTTTTCCTTCTTTAAATATTGTGCCAAAATCTCTATGTGGGCAAGGACTAGCTCTCCCTTCCCCCTTAATTCTCTGCACCCCATATTCCTGTTAGCTGCTTTGAGTAGGGAGATGGAATCAGACCCTTCTATAAAATAAAATAAAATTTAAAAAAGAATCAGCTCCTTCTTTATTTTCTCCTTTATTGATTGCCTTATATGATCAAGTATGGTATTCAGATTCCCCTTCCCATATTTATTCAGTGAAAACCACTCCTCAAGCTGGTCCATGAAATAATTCATGAGCCTTGGAAGCTTTCATGTTTAGCAACAGGACATAGAGGTCTTCCCAAAAGCCATTGTCCCTTTAAAACCAAGGGTCAACACAACACAATGCATCACTTCTCCAAGGCTGTTGAGGAACATCTTATTCAGTTATCACTGATTACTAAAAAAAGGTGTCTTTTTAAAGACTATTGAAAACATAAGAAAATTTACAGCTTTGGTTCTCTAAAGGAGGAAGATATACCACTAATCCAAAAGGTAATGGGATTGAGCAGGTGGGATATGTTCCAAAAAACAAAGAACATATCCCATTGACCATAAAAAGATTGATGATTGTCATTGCAAGCCAAGATTCAAAGAGGCCGGAGCACAAAGAACATAGCTTGCATGATCAATAGAAAGCCCACGGATTGGAGAAGATCTTCACTAGCCATACAACGGACAAGGGTCTCATATCTAAAATATACCTGGAACTCAAGTTAAATCCCCCAACAACAAATCCTCAATGAAACAATTGCCCGATAAATAAGTGGGCTAAAGACTTAAAGAGAAACTTCTCTGAACTGGAAATAAGAATGGCCAATAGACACATGAAGGAATGCTCAACCTCTCTAGCCATAAAAGAAATGCAAATCAAAACAACATTAAGATACCACCTCATCCCAGTTAGAATGGCAAAAATCAAGAACTCTAATAACAACAGATGCTGGAGGGAATGTAGACAGAAGGGAACCTTACTGCATTGTTGGTGGGAGTGTAAACTTGTTCAACCACTTTGGAAAGTAATATGGAGGTTCCTCAAAAGACTCCACATAGAGTCCCCCTATGACCCTGCAATCCTACTTTTGGGCATTTACCCAAACGATCACAAACAAGGCCATACTAAAGCTACCAGCACGACTATGTTTATTGCAGCATTATTTACCATAGCTAAAATATGGAACCAACCCAGATGCCCCTCAGTAGATGAATGGATCAAGAAACTGTGATACACACACACACACACACACACACACTGCCCCATGTGTTATACTTCACTTATATTAAGTGAAGTGTTATTACTTCACTTATATTAAGTGAAGTAATCCAGGCCCAAAGAAACATAGGTCCCATGGTTTCCCTTATTTGCAATAACTAGTACATGTGTAGGACAAGTAGAAAAGGTCAAAAGCTATGTACATAAGACCATATAAGATGATATTAAGTGAAATGAACCTCAAGATAGAGACACAATGTTTTTTCTTTCTTGCTATTTTTCTTCACGTATTTATAATGTACCATGTCATTTTTTTTGTTGCTTTGTATATCCTTCCCCCACGGTATAACCCCTGTTGTCACTGTATTTGTTGTTGGTGCCCTGCATCTTGTGTACACACTTCTCTAATTCGGGGAGAGGAAGGTAAAAAAACAAAATATTTAAATAGGGATACAGGTTGACCCATTGTAGTAATGAGACAAACAAGATACCATGTTGAAAACAAACTTTACAATGAGGCCTGACCAAATGGTGCTCATGGAGAAAAAAAATGAAAGAGTGAACTCTGAGACAAAGAGTAAGCTGGGAGGAATGCATGTCACAATGGCAATGTGGTGCACCTCCATCACCCACCAAGGTTGAGAAAGGTTATCCCCATGGGCCCAGGCAAGCCAGCTCTCCCAAGAGCAGCAGTGAACGTCTTGCTGTATCCTGTAGAGAGAGCAGGAAACAAAGAAAATTCCAAGGCTGGAACTGTACTCCTGGCAGTGATGCTACTAACACAGTTTCTGGTGGCCCTCCTCACAATGCCAGCACTACAAGTGGACCATGTGAGTGCAGTCACAATCTAATACTGTTCTTGGCTCATATATAATCCCCTGCCAGGGTGAGGAACTTTTTTTCTGTTGTTTTCTGAATAACATCCACAGGCCATTCTTAATCATGAGGCTATCTACTTCATCATGTTAGAGCTGAAAAATCAGATGGCTCATCCACACACTTGCTGCCATTAAGACTCTCTGAATCTGACTTTGGAACACCTTACTTTAAATAATAATGAGAATAATAATGAATCTCAGAGACCTCATCCAAATTTACAATATTAATTTAATTAGAAAGAGGATTAGACTGTTTATATGTCTATTTCTAAAGTTACTTTTTCTTTCATCAATCATGGGGCTTGAACTCTGGACCTGGTCACTGTCCTGAGCTTTTGTGCTTACGTCTTGTGTTCTACCACTTGAGCTATAGCTCTACTTCTGTTCTGTTGTTATTAATTGGAGATAAGAGTCTCATAGACTTTCTTGTCCCTGCTGGCTTCAAACGGGGATCCTCAGGTCTCAGCCTCTTGTGTAGCTAGGATTACTGACATGAACCACCAGTGCCTGGCTAAAGTTACTTTTTACTGAGTAAGTTATTATACTTTTCTATCTTGATCACTAACACTTCCATAATAATAATCAGTCCTGCAGAATAATAAACTCAGGTGCAACTCCAAATAACATTTTAAAATATTTATCTTTTAAAAAATTTAACTACAGTATGTACTACACAAATAGTATTTTTGAGGAGCCAAACAAAAGAAATCCTCCTTAGCACAGCTCAGACTAAAACCATTTCAGGGCATGCTACAACCGACTGTAGGACAGGCAGAGGCTGAGCATTTACTACTGACCCCAGCCTGCCACCTGACATGCCACGTTACAGACGTACTGTGAAACGGAATAAAGATACTTAGCTCTAAAGGCTATTTAGGGATGAAATCAAGAGTACTTTTTAACTAAAACCCTATGGATTATGTTAAAGCTATCGATAAAGCTTTCCAATTGGTGATAACTAAAGAGCAAGCCAACACATTTTGAGCAAATATATCCCTTAGGATTGGTCTACAGAGAAAGACATGTCAGGATGAAGAAAAAGTAATGTTTATATAATTTAATGTTTGCCCTTAGTGAATTATGTGTATTATGTAAGCATATAAGTATAGAATATACCAATACAAATTGATTGTCAGATTCTAAGATTTTAACATCAAATTCGCTACTATTTGGAAACAGCAATTGTAGAAAAAAAAATAAGAGTACCTTTATGAAGGTAAAATACTGAATATGTGATTTGCTCCCAAGAGTCAAACTTTGGGCTGTAACATACACACAAACTTCCTAGAAGGAAAAAAAAAATTGAGAGAACTTAAACAATCTGTGAACCAGCAAGTTTCCTAAGCCATTTCCCTTCACATCTACTTCTAAATGTCCTGTTCCATTTTACTTCATAGAATATTTCCAACTTCAAGAAGTAGTCTATTAACAAGTTGCTAAGAAAATTTCAAATCAACATTTGGCATCAATAATTATAAGCAGTATATTGTGGCAGGCTAAGGAAGGAAGAAAAGAAAATGATTATACAGTAATGCAGTCCTATATGTGAAATCAGAGGAGTCTAGAACTTTCCAAACTTCATGAGATTCTCCTGCTATACATGCACTGCCTTTGTCACTTTTTATTACTATTACAGCTGTGGACACCAGTTTATTTTTTTAAAGTGTGCTCCTCTCTAGAGTAGATGCCCAGCCTTCTTCTTTATCTAGATTGAAAAGCAAATCGTGGTCTTTCTCATGGGGCAATGGGAACAAATACAATATGCGAGCCCAAATGCATCCGTATTTGGATCACTGAAGGCCTTAGCCAATGGTGAGCTCTTGGCATGAAGCAGTCCTTCCAGATGAGCCAAGCCCACCCACATTTACTCCGTTTGCTCAGAATATACTTAAAATACCTCTGGCCTTCTCAATTCTCTCAGTGTGTAAAACTGTATGGATGTCTAGTAGCTGTTGCTAATCAGATAGACTAATGTCCACTGATGACCTACAAATGAGGAGATTTATGCTGAAATGAACTCAGGCTGATGATCCTCATCTCAAATATGTTTTACATCGAGATTCTTTAGGATTTGGGAATCTTTGTACAACTTTATTAATTGAGTATCCTTTAATTCAAAGATCTAAATTCCAGAATGCACTCTGAATTCTGGATTTTTAGATCAGGAGTGATCTCAACCTATAATTTTATTCCAGGACTAACATTTATGTGCTCAACTGAAATAAAGAGATTGCTAAGTAGAAAGGAATTTGTTAAAAAGTTGGACAACTTGGGTTGTAGTCCCAGAGCTAATATTAACGGTTGTTGAAATCAATGATGACTCTACTTGAGTGGTTTCAGTATTCCTTCTATTATATTCTATTAGTTCCTGTATCAAGGAATTATATGCTATGGGAAATCTAGTTTCTCTAGGAAGAATATCTGAGGATAATTACAAGCATTCTTTTATGATACTTATCACGTGTGACTGCTTTTAATCATCTTTGCAGTTGGATTATATTGTTATAAGTATATTTTATTAAAATATCTTGAAAATACCAAAAAGAATAACTACCAGATAAAGATTCTGTTAAAATTACATTTACTAAGTATCTGGTAATAACTTTTCTTAAAATCACAGCAGACTAACTTTGAATAAAAGTAAACTAACATTATTGGTAAAAAAAAAAATCCATTAGTCTATACTACTCTTTTATAATCCTGGATCATAGAAGGAATTGGCACAAAAGTAGAAAACTAAAAGAGAAATGTCTCTAGTAATAAAAAATACAAATTAAAATAAGGTACCATATATTTCCATTTAGATTAGCAAAGTTTTCTTAATGATAATCAGTGTTGTCCAGGGTGCAATAGAAAGAACATTTTCAAATAATAGAAAAGTAACAGAAACTCTCTGAAAAAAGTATTATTAAGTGGGTTAAATGTACTCAGACCAAAGATCAATAATTTGTTTAGGAATCTAAGTTGAGGAATAAGTTTGAAATGTCAACAAAATAAGGATATGGCAACCATTGTAACAAAATCCTTCCCACACCATCTCCTAGAGAATGAAGGGTTTTGTTTTTGTCATTTTGAAAAATGTTAAAATTATATGTGTGGTAAATATTCTAATTCCATGTACTGAGAACCATATTCAAATCTGGTAAGCAAATATTTCCAAATTGTTAGGCTGTGGCTTAGTGCTCTAGTCCAATCCCAAAGGGGAAAAGGTAGTGGGCAGATGCTCTGCAAGGTCCAATAAGCTGAGCCCTGATGGTTCCCTCCTGTAATCCTAACTACTCAAAAGGCTGAGATCATGAATCACAATTCAAAGCCAGCCTAGACAAGAAAGTCCATGAGACTCCAATCTCCAATTAACCACCAAAAAAGCCAGAAGTGAAGCCATGGCTCAAGTGGTAGAACATACTATTTTAGCCCTGAGCAGAAATAGTTTAGGAACATCACCCAGGCCCTGAGCTCAAGACCCAGTAGCAGCACATACACAAAATGAAAGTGCTATAGAACTTCCTTCAACAGTAGCAATGTTCTGTCCCTATGTACCCCTACATAGGAGTACATGTAACATACGCATTTAAAAGGTGGCTAGTGTAACTACAGAATTACTCTCTCATTTCATTTATTTCTAATTAACTGAAATTCAGAAAGCCAATATGGACACTACAGCTGGAAAGCAATGGTTCTTAACCCTGACCAAACATGAAACTTGAGATCATAGATACACAAATTCCATCTCTGGTCATTAAGTCAGATGTCAGTATTTTTTTTAAAGCTCCCTAATAGATCCTAAGATTCAATCAAGATTGAGAATCCTTTTCTAAAAATCAGCAGATGTGCATTTAAATCTTAGATGTTGACTTACTAAGTATATTTTTTGTTCAGGCAAATTAATTATATATATTCTCTAAACCTCAGTTTCCTCATCTGTACATAAAGAAAATAAAGAACCTGCTTCATAAAGTTCTTACATGAGAATAAATGGAATAGTGTGCCTAAGGCTCTGGCAAAATAGTTACATCTAGCTCTAAAGACTAGCTGCTATTATTTGTAATCCAGAATTATTTTGCTGCTATTTATAATTTTGAGGAAGTCACAGGTTGAAGAAATTAAAACATGCTCCTAATGGTATATTCAGAGACTTTTTAAAATAAATATTCATTGGTGAGTGAAGATAACATCGCAACATTGGCAAGCCTTTGGGAAACCATTTAGACAATGAAAATTAGTACAATGTTATCCGAGGGAAATTATCTCATTGGAGCAATTATTTAAAAGCCCTCTAGAACAGTAACACTGGCCTAATTCTGAGAACTCCTGCAAAGGGGATGCATGCATTCCTCCACTCTCCTCAGCAGTTGCTACAAAAGAACAAACTAAGGCCACTGACTTAGATGTTGTAAGTCAGACGCAGGACGAGTGAGAATATTTATTTATGCCCCAAATTTAGTGTTTTTAGTTGATTTACCTTCCTAATGCAAGAGATTATTGAAAAGTCTACATAAACTCATAATGATTAAATGCTATACAAGTAGCCTCACATTGGAGCAGTACTTCTCTCCCTAACTAACTCTGGCAAGTATAAGCTATTGTCCAGTTTTAACCTTTCATTCCTTTGAAGGTAGCAGATTTCATGTCTATGGACAGAAAACCCCAGCATTTTATTAAATAAGGCACATCATGAGTAGCCGTCTTATATGTTATGGCTGCTACTGTTTGAGAAATTCCTATGGGAACAAAATGAAAAGGCATAAAGAGCCATTTGGAATTAAAGCCTAAAATAATTGTTTATATCCAAGCCATTCAAAGCAAAACAACTAGGGAAGATCGTACCCTAGTAACCTACCCTCCCTATGAGCTCTGGGTCCCATTTCATCTCACCTCTGAAGTCACTCTGCCAATTATTCCTCTATGTTTCGCACTCTCCTCTTTGTCTCGCCACTAAATATAAGCATTTGAACATAGAGATGCAAGCACTTTACCACTGAGCCACCTTCCCAGCCCCAATAACATAATTGTAAAAGGTGTTCTGTTTGAGGGAGACAAGCAGGAGTGCAAAATAAGAGAAGTGCTATATATTACTTCTATAATATTCAATAAACATTAATAGTTAATATAACATTTCATTATTATATATATATGGAAATAGCATAATGAAATACATCAAAAATTGTTTATGAAAGCTGGGCGCCAGTGGTTCACACTTGTAATCCTAGCTACTGAGGATCACGGTTCAAAGCCAGCCCAGGAAGGAAAGTCCGTGAGACCCATCTCCAATAAACCACTAGAAACCAGAAGTGGCACTGTGGCTCAAGTGGTAGAGTGCTTGCCTTGAGCTGAAATGCTGAGGGACAGCACCCAGGCCCAGAGTTCAAGCCCCACAACTGACAAAAAATAATAATAACAAATATCACAATGAATCCTTTTCTACAATTAATGACAAGTTTAAAAGCAAAAACATGTTTATTAGACTTTGATTTTATGGTTATTGCTTAGATGACTATTAAAGCTAACAATCAGAGGGGTTTTTTCACCAGATTCATTCTATGGAATCCCATTTCTCTCCTCTCATTTTTAGACATGCCTTTGCTTCTCTACATCTTCTCTCTGAACTATAAACAGATGTGAAGAGAGAATGTGTATACTCAAGACTTCATTTGCCAAGCTGTTAGAACAGCACTCTGTAGACTGGCATTTAAAGGTCAGTGTATAGTTTTAGAATCCAAACATAACAATAATGCTGACATAGAAAGCATCCTCATCCCTGCTCATGAAAAGATGGAGCAGGTACCTTCTACTGGTGGCCTGAAATACAAGTTGATAAGAAGGCTGAGATCTGAAGATTATGGTTCACAGGCAGCCTGGATGGAAAAGCCCATAAGATTCTTATCTCTAATTAACCAGAAGTGGATATGTGGCTCAAGTAGTAGAGTGCTAGCCTTGAGCAAAAAAGGCAAGGGACAGTGCCCATGCCCTGAGTTCAAACCCTAGTATCAGTACACAGAGAGGAGGCGGGGGGGGGGGGGGGGAGATAGAGGTGATAAAATGTGGATTGATTGGGGCTGGGAAGGTGGCTCAGTGGTAGAGTGCTTGCCTTGAAGCACGCATGAGGCCCTGGGTTCGATTCCTCAGTACCACATAAGCAGAAAAAGCCAGAGGTGGCATTTTAGCTCAAGCGGTAGAGCACTAGCCTTGAGCTGAAGAGCTGAGGGACAACACCCAAGCCTAGAGTTCAGGCCCCACAACCCAAACCCTCCTCCCCCTCAAAAAAATGTTGATTGATTAAGTACAAATCCACCTGGTCTATTAAAATAACTCAACTGCTATTAGAACAGCAATCCTGTTGACTGGTTTCTTTCACAGAGAGAATCTACATATAGTTATAGTGTTAGAAATCAGGGGTGTCACTCAGTGGTTAAGACATGTCCAAGACTTTGGGCTCCCTCCCTGGCACTAAAAGAAAAAAGTAAAACCAAGTAAATAAAGAGAGAAGATGGGGCTGGGAAGGTGGTTCAGTGGTAGAATGTTTGCCTCGCATGCATGAAGCCCTGGGTTCAATTCCTCAGCACCATATAAGCAGAAAAAGCCGGAAGTGGCACTGTGGCTCAAGTGGTAGAGCACTAGTCTTGAGTCAAAGAGTTCAAGCCCCACGACCAAAAACTATATGTATATACAGAGAGAGAGAAGATAATTTATCACATATGTGATTACCTATATAATAAGGTTTCTCTGTTATATTTTCTTTTCATGATTCAGATATCTGAACTATCCAGTAATTAGTTTGTATAGCACTGAAGTATAGTTGAATAAGTTGTTAAGTAAAATCCTAGTTCTTCCTACCTGTATGATTGGTAAAAACACAGAGAGTCGACTGTTTGGATAATGTATTTTGATGATATTCACACCCAAAGTTGACAAGTCTAAGAACATAAAGGAAAATAAATTACTGAATGCATTTAAAAATACATTCCTTCTTAAAAGGTATAGTTACTACTATGATATAGCTATAGAAGTAGATAGCCTCCCTAAGTAAACAACTTTTCATCAGAAAGAAAGTGGGTTTTTTGGTATAATGGTACATAAATATATTTTTAAATACATGATACACAAGACATAAATATGAGCCTGTCAAAGGAGAAAAAAGTTACTTACAATTTGTATTTAATAATTTTTTTGAGGGGGTCCAGTTGTGGGGCCTGTACTCTGGGCCTGGGTGCTGTCCCTCAGCTCTTGAGCTCAAGGCTAACGCTCTACCACTTGATCCACAGCGCCACTTCTGGCTTTTTTTTTTCTTTTTGCTTATGTGGTGCTGAGGAATGGAACCCAGGGCCTCAGGCATGCAAGGCAAGCGCTCTACCACTGAGCCACCTTCCCAGCCCTATTTAATAATTTTGTATGATAGCAAACATACTCTGAAACATATGTTTCAAAACAGGCACAACTAAACATTCATACATGAGAAAATGTGGGGTTTTTTGTTTGTTTGTTTTTGTTTTTGTCAGTCATGGGGCTTGAACTCTAGGCTTGTACTCTACAGCTCAACCTCTTGAGCCACCATGCCACTTCCGGTTTTCTAGTGGTTTTTATGGAGATAAGAGTCTTACAGACTTTCCTGCCTGGGCTGGCTTTAAACTGTGATCCTCAGATTTCAGCCACCTGAGTAGCTAGGATTACAGGCGTGAGCCACCAGCGCCCAGCTCAATACATGATAAAATGTAAAGTACAGCTAGGGAATATGTAATCTTTCATTATTTATAACTATCTTTAATTCAGGAAGAGTATTCTGTGTTTTGATGACCTTGTGTTCATTTTTTTGAAACTGTCTTCTGTGGCTTTATAAGAAGAAAATTAGTATAAAATTATAGTTAAAGAGTAAGGAAAACTATAATGGAAAAAAAAAAACTTTTCTTCTATGTAAAAAAGAAAACACAAAAAATTAAGCAATAGACTCAGCCAAGCTACAAGAAGGTTGGCCTGTGATATCTTCTCGCTGGCAAGGAAAAACCAGGTTGGTGTTTGGTTCTAAATACAGCTCTTTCTGATTCATTGCATCTCTTTATTTAATCACAGGGAGACAAGTGCTTCCATACAACAAAATAAATGGAAGCCCTCCAGAAATAAATGGCTAAAGAAAATCAACACAATTGACTTTTCATGTGACATTTCAAGTTCATGCTTGGTAAAGTTGTTTTATTCCCTATAAAGCACAGAAGTATTTTTTTTTAAAAGACACACACAGAGAACATCAATTTTTCCTTTTATCTGTATACTATGTATACCATGAACTAAGAATAAGTATAATCATTTGACCTACTAGTATCTATAAATTTAATAACAATCTGTGAGTAACTTACTTAAATCCCAAGTCTTTTAATGATATGTCCAGCGGTGTTTCGAACTGTCAAAAAGACCAGGAGGAAATGAACTCAAAACATGACCCTCCAAGAATGATGAGAGCTCTGCAATGCAGAGCAAGCCCAGCAGTGCTGTGCTTGGCTAATGATGAAGAGCCCATTCGCTGTCATTATCTTCTTCAACGGCCACATCCCAATCCACAGCACAGGAAGTCCACTGGGAATACTCCAGAGTTTACGAATGACCATGAGTATGGTGCATGCTTATCTCACGAAAGGTGAAAACTTAGGCTAACTTGGAGTATCATTAACAAGGTTGTATCAGGCAATTGGAAAACACAGCCTCTCATAAGACACAGATGACCATGTAAGGAATGGAGAGCTGAGTGACCCCAGAAAGGGTAGGTAAGCCAAAAAAGGGAAGTCTTGTAATTCTACAAAAACAATCTCTGCGACAGACCAACAACAGTGTAATGAAAAAGATGGCAGTGCCACCCATCACAGTTAAACACATTAGTGATACCTTACATAAACGCTCTGTCAGTGACTTTCCCAACAGTAATGCTGTATTTTAAGTAATTACACTCTTTAACTAATATACGCTCTTATTGGCTCTTTTTCTTGGCCCTCGATTCCACTATCTTCACAAGTGTTTTGAGTCACATAACTTGCAAGAACTTAAATCTACTTACTATAGACCACATCTTTTGCCTCTTACTGAGTCCCACTCTTAAAACGTGCTCCCTTGATATAAAACGCTTGGTGGTGGGGATTTCCTGTGCTCTTCTCACCCCTGGTGACCAGAACTATTTAACTTGCTCATGCAAGTGACTAATACCCAAAATACTAGAATGTTCTTTATGGTTGCAGTTCTCTTAAAAGGGGGGATCTGGGGGAGGGACAACATAAAAATTTCCTGGGAGTGATCATTCTCTCTGGACTTACCATTAAGTTAAAGCTCTTGTCAGCATAAAACTGGATGCATTTTAAGATACTCTTTGATTTCTAAAACATAAAACATTGTGATGTATTACCTTAAAAAAAAAAAACACTTAAAAAGATGGGGGAAGGAGAAAGGAAGAGAAAGGAGAGACAGTAGCAACAGTCTAACTAAAAGTAGTAATAAAAAAAACTTTGCATTATTTCTAATAAACCCTCACTGACTGCTCCCATCAACAAAATATAGTAATTAATGAATTAGAGTAATGGCTAAAACCAAGCTGTTCCCTTAAAGGAGTACCTGTGCACTAATTTTTACCTTCAGATTGATGTAGTATAATCTCTGCTCTGCCATATCCCACTGAGCCCAAACAAAATCCTCAGCTATTCTGTCTCTGGGGAGATGGTTAGAATTTTTAATTACCTAGGGAGGTAAAATATTGTATAAATAAATTTATTTAAAAAGGAAATACATGAAATCATTATTTTGCACCCACGATACATGTAAACAGCTCTCCTTTGTTATTGGCACTTCTTCCACACACAAAACATGCACAGATTTTACAGAAGACTTTTACAACATCACTACTTCTTCTTCCCAAACTCTCGATTCTATTTTATTCTTTTTTGGGGGGGATGGGGGGGATCGGTCGTGGGGCTTGAACTCTGGGCTTGGGCGCTGTCCCTATGCTCTTCAGCTCAAGGTGAGCGCTCTACTGCTTGAGCCACAGCGCCACTTCCTGTTTTCTAGTGGTTTATTGGAGATAAGAGTCTCACGGACTTTCCTGCCCAGGCTGGCTTTGAACCACAATCCTCAGATCTCAGCCTCTTGAATAGCTAGGATTACAGGCATGAGCCACCAGCACCGGGCTTATTTTATTCTTGTTATTAGTTTAATAGACAAGTTGGGCTTAGCAAAGGCAAGACAATACCTACCATAAACCAACATGTACATAAAGATTCATAGCTTCCTGTTATAGACATAGCTTCTCAATATGGCCTCTGCAGACAAGAAGCCTTCACCATTAAAGACAGATGGGAATGCTGAAATTACAGACATGCCCAACTACACCCTGCTTAGTAACCTATATACTTTTATCTACTAAGTAAAGAACAATCCTAAAAGCAGGTAAAAGTACATGTGAGGATTCTTTTGTGATAAAAAAATGTATTTCCCACATATGCACATAATCATTTACAAGTTTTCATGAGCAACGTTTTTATCATTAGTTACTGTTATTGTTAGACTCAGGATAGGGGATGAAGTAGAGAAAAAGGAGATACCTAACTGCTTCATAGGTCATTCTTTGTTTCACCTATTACAACACCAAATGAATCATTTGAAAGGCATCAAGAAAATATGACATATTAAAAGCATCGATCTATCTTTAACAGAATAGAAATACATGTGTGTATGCTAATAAAAAATAAAGTTAAAAGAAATGCAGTGTTTTGTGTAAGAAAATTCTAAGGCAAAAGGAATTTCAAATCTTTACCACTGTATCTCCATCTTCTTGGGTAACCTGGATATGAACTTGCTCAATATCTTTAAAAAGAAGAAGGGGAAGGAGGAGGAGGAGGAGGAAGAAAGAGAGAGAGAAAGAAAGGAAGGAAAAAATGAAGGAAAGAAAGAAGAAAGAAAAAATTTAATGTTCAGGGAAAATATCAGTATTTTTTGCCTACCAGTGTGAACCAATTTTTACAAAACTAATTAAACAAATGCTTATAAAACAATATCTTTATATACCGCATGATGATACATATGCTTACACACAGACACAACTTTCTCCATCCTCTTTTTACAGTCTATCTCAAGACCCTTATTTACTACATTCTTTTTTATTATGTGGTGGGAGATGGTACTGGGGTCTTCACTTGCTAGGCAGGTACTCTACCACTTGAGCCACACCACCTTCAATCCTTTTTGCTTTAGGTATTTTTCAGAGAGTGTCTTCCATTTGTTCCGTTGGCCTGCCTGGACTGTGGTCCTTCAATTTATGTTTCCACAGTACTGGGTAAAACTGACATGCACCACCCATCGGTCTCATGAACTCTTCTAACTCTACTAGCTTCCAACCTCAATCCTCCCAGCCTCTGCCTCGCAAGTAGAAAGGATTATAGGCATGAGCCACCATGCTCTACATAGTCCAATCTTTAGTATCAAGAATGCATGACATATTTGGACTTTCTGTACCCCTTCTTCCCTCAACCAGTGTTTGCCTCACCTATGAGATCAGACATATAAAGGATTGACAATTCCTCTTAACAGAGGTTATCTTCAATTTCCTAGTACTGACTGTGTTTTTAAATTAATGTAGATAGGAACTATTATACACTATACTGAATGTGTTTTTAAATTAATGTAGATAGGAACTATTATACACTATTTGGGAGAGGTACTTTCAAAGGGGTCAGTTTCACATAAACAAAGCTTCAAACACTCTGAGACACTTGGAGATGGTCCCTTATCAGTAACAATTTAGATTCAGTCACACTTACCTTTCAATTGTTCTACTTATAAACATGTGAAACAGAAAAACAAGTATAGTTTATTCACCCAACCATAAATCAGCAGTTTATATTACACCATGAAAGACAGCTTACTAGAAAAGTTTCACCACTGAATTTATCCTTTCTCTTTCATAACTTTGAAAACATCATAAAAGAATATAACCCCTTTTTCATGTTTAAGTAGTTGTGTAAAGGAGTTGCCATTTAATAAAGGGGTTTATGAATACAATGCATCTTGATCAATCAATGTCACCCCTTTCAACATTCTCACCCATCCCTCTTAACCCAAACCTTCCTTCACTTTTCCTAATTGTGTAGGTTATATATTGAATTATTGACTGCATTCTCCCCCTCTTCTCTTCTTCAATCATCTCTCCTTGACTCCACCCAACCCTTTCAAGTACCTGCTTACGGGTATTTGTTTTGTTGGGCTTTATCTTTCAGTTAATACATTTGTATACACTTGCATAGCACCAAACATATTTACTTATCTATACACGTACTAGGGAAAATATGCAACCTTTGTTCTTCTGGGGGCCATAACCTCTTACATCCAAATTTGATATGCCTCTACTTGAATTTGGCCAAGTTCGTGTGCATGTACCCTGGAATCTGCCCCTATCAAACTTTCTCTCTATGCATGCCTCTCTCCTTTTATTACGGTTGGCCACTGTGACAAACATCCTAAAGAAGAAAAAAAAAAAAGATTGGTACAACTGTTGTACTAACACTCTACTTGTACAAAAGCTCAAGGTAAGGAAATAGAGGTAGCTTGACAGAGCAGCAGTGTGGGCCAAATGCAAAGCTCTTCCACAGGAATTCTAGGTCTCAATGGAACATCAAAAGTCAGTAGATGCCAGGCATGGTGGCTCACACCTGTAATTCTAGCTACTCGGGAGGCTGAGATCTGAGGATCAGGGTTTGAAGCCAGCCCAGGTAATAAAGTCTGTGAGACTTTTATCTCCAATTAACCACCAGAAAACCAGAAGTGGAGTTGTGGCTTAAAGTGATGAAGGGCTTGAGCAAAATTGCTCAGGAACAGCACCCAGGCACTGAGTTCAGGCCCCATGACTGACACACACACACACAAAAAAAAAAACCCAGCAGACTCTCAGAAATGTGTCTCGCCTTTCACTAGGTGATGATTTGCCATTCACACGCCCCTAAAGATGCACTTACATTTCTCTTCTGAAATCAGTAACAGGTGATTCTGGGAATGAGGGTGACTTTCAACATATGGATAGAGGAACTATAAAAAATGAAGTTAGTCAAAATTATAATTTTGTTGGTACAAATACTTCAAAGATTGTATCTGATCACGGTACTAGTACCCACCATACAAAAGACACAGGGGAATCAACACACACACACACACACACACACACACACACACACACACACACACACACACACACACACACACACACAGAGCAAGCAGAGCAGGGATCCCTGTCCTGTCAGGACCTCAGTTGTCTAGAAGAAGTGATCTCCAGCCCAGCACTTTTCCCTTGCATGTAAACAAAGCAAAGTCTGACACTGGCTCTATGGATGGATGGTGCTCATGTGGAATATTTGATTCCGAAGCTAATCAGAAGCAATCCAACATTTATATTACATGTTCTATTTCACACAGAGAAAAAGAGTCATCCAGGTATCTGTTGTACAACTAAGTCTCATGTGCAACTTCAGAGCCAAGTAAACATAATCCCCATTGCAACTTCCAGCACTGTATAACCAGGGACTTCCCAAGAAAAGACAGTGAGTCACTGTGTGGCATGAAGGTGCAATTTACAAGCCTCAAACAGAAGAATCATAGAGAAAAGGCTTAATCCACCCCATTCCTTCTTTATGAGCTCCTCTGTAGGGCTCCACTAAATTTCTGCCTATAAGACAAAGCAGGTGACAGCACCGTGAGACCTGACCCAGTAAGCTAGAAGAATGGAGGGAAACTCCAGTGACATAATGCTCTCATCATTGGCAGAGTAATGGCAAAGCAAATCAGCCATCCCCTTTTATGGCATGAAAGACATTTTACAGTAAGATTCACCCATGAATTTTATGTTTTTGGCCTAGGCTGGTCTGGGCTATGATCCTCCTGACTATGGCCTTACGCTCAGCTAGAACCACAGGCACACATCACCACACCTGGCTTATTAATGGCATCTCACTAACTTTGCCTGAGCTGGCTTTGAGCCACAACCCCCCACCCACTCCCAAACACACCTCCTAAGCATCTGGAATTACAAGTATAAGCCACTGTACTCAGCCTGTTCATGATATTCTTGTCAACAGATGAACATATAACATTTTCTTTTCTGTATTTCCACTTAAAGAGCCTATGCACATCTACTGTTAATTTGATTAGTACTGAGTTCATGGTTCACAACACTGTAATTCATGTCTGAATGAAGCTCATCAAGTTACATATTTCCTTTGTTGGACACATCAAAGCCTTCTCACCCTTAGGAACACTAGACAGCACATAAGCATGACACTGGGAGGCCATTGAAACAGTAAAGCCTCTAGCAAAAAGCACAAAAATTAGCCAGGCACTGGTGGCTCATGCCTTTAATCCTAGCTACTCAGGAGGCTGCGATCTGAAGATCACAATTCAAAGCCAGCCTGGGCATGAAACTCTGTGAGATTCTTATCTCCAATAAATTACTCAAAAAATCTGGAAGCAGTATTGTGGTTTAAGTGGTAGCACTTGCCTCAAGCAAAAGAAATTCAGAGACAGCACCCAGGCCAAGTTCAAACCCTAGGATCAGCAAAAGGAACAACAAAAAAGCACAAAAATTAAAAAACCATGGTACTAAAGAGTAAAAACGTTTGTACATATGAAGGCTTCAATGACAAGACAGAATATCGACTTCTTCAACTATAGTTGGAAGCATGCAAGCCAGGCGTCTCAATTTGTTCCTCCTTGACATGTTGGCAAATAACTGGCAGTGTCCTAAACATTAATTTTTGTGAATAGATTATAGTCAATAGGAGAATTCACAAACATGGAATCTGCAAATGAAGAAGACTGGTTAAAGCCAAGCATGATGGTGCGTGCCTATAATTCTAGCACTCTGAAGGGGAAGACAAAAATATCATGAGTTTGAGGCTTGCTGGGGCCACATAAAGAGACTGTCCCAACAAAAAGAGGAAGAGGAAAAGAGGAACAGAGTGGCCTACTTCACCTCACACTTGCTAGGCAAGTGCTCTATCACTTGAGCCTTGCCTTCAGCCCACAAAGCATCTCTGTGACAATTCACAGTGTTGATAAATTCAGGAACTTATTAAATCATTTATTAATCTGTCAGCCATGTGGCTACACAAAATAAACTACTCTAAAGCTTACTGTGAATGCCTCTTACTATTGGGAATTTTATCATGGAGCAGCGTTGCCTTACTAGGAGACAAGTCCTGGCATAGCAGCATCAAGAAAGGTCTAAATTCTTCATTTGAAGAACTGTGCTTCCCACCCAACCCATCTACAAGATTACTTTGAAGACTAAATGGGATAATGTGTGCAAAAGCACTTTGAAAACACCTCATCCCCTGGGTCTCATGTCTTCTCATGAATGACACAGTGATAAATGATAGCTTGCTTACCTGTACCCAAATAGAGCTATCCACTGCTTTGAGAACTTTCACATTATTAACAGGGTAGATTTCCACCAGCAAAGTCAGGCACCTTGAGCCTACAGAGAAAAAAAGAGATTGTTGGTAATGAACACTTGAATATCATGTGCTACTTTTTCCAAAGCAAATAGGAAATGAACCCCTTGTATATCCTACTACACCCATTGTGAAGTATCAAAGCAATTCTACCATCATTATATAATCCTTGAAGTGACACTAACTATAATGCTACCCTAGTTCCACTCTACAGGATCCCAAAAGGGCCTTGCAGATGGGTGTTAGTGACTCATGCCTGTAATCTTAGTTATTTGGTAAGCTGAGAGCAAAAATCACAGTTTGTGGATAGTCTGGATAGAATAATTTACAAGGTCCTTCTTCAAAAATAACCAGAAAAGTTTGTGTACCAGTGGCCCATACATATGCTAGCTATTCAAGAGGTTGAGATTTAATCATCGTAGTTCAAAGCCAGTCCAGGCAGAAAAATCCATGAGACCCTTATTTCTAATTAACCACACACACAAAAAAATAAAGTGGAACTGTGGCTCAAATGGTAGGGTACCAGCCTTGAGCAAAAAAACTAAGGGACAGTGCTCAGGCCCAGAGTACAAGCCCCTCCATGGGATGTGGCTGGAGGCCAGTCCAGCTCTTGAAACATCATCTTAACCAACAGATGAGCATATTGGCACATGCCTGTTTCTATCTTACCAATGTGGAAGCACAATGACTATGTATAGCACAGGGGAAGCACAAATGGGTAGATGGAAGTGTTACAGTCTCTTTTGCAGTGATAAAAATCTCACTTTAAGTGACAGAGTATTAATACTTAAGAGGCAAACTATATTCTTTGTGGATGATATGATTTTTGGGGGGGGGGTCTGGTTGTGGGGCCTGAACTCTGGGCCTGGGCGCTGTCCCTCAGCTCTTCAGCTCAAGGCTAGCACTCTACCACTTGAGCCACAGTGCCACTTCTGGCTTTTTTTTTTTTTTCCTGCTTATGTGGTGCTGAGGAATCGAACCCAGGGCCTCAGGCATGCAAGGCAAGCGCTCTACCACTGAGCCACCTTCCCAGCGCGAACTATATTCTTTAATCAAATGACTTACAACTTCTGGGACAGAAAAAAATAAACTTTTCAAAATGTATCTGTTCAAGGCCAGGCACAGTGGCTCACGATTATAATCCTACCTACTCAGGAGGCTGAGATCTGAAGATTATGATTCAAAAAAAGACTGAGAGTCTTCTTCCCAATTAATCAGTAAAGAGCCAGAAGCCAAGGCATGGCACAAATGGTAGAGTGCCAGCCTTGAGCAACAAAGCGAAGTGACAGTGTTCTGGCCCTGAGTTCAAGCTCCAGTATTGGCAAATACTCACACACACACACACACACACACACACACACACACACACACACACACACACAGAGTCTGATTACTCCCCTGATCAAAATCCACACTGATTTTCTACTTCACTTGTAGATAAGGCCAACTCTTTTCAATGGTCTCCTATTATCTACATGAGCAGCTTGCACTCATCTCTACTTTTCTATGCCTTCATTTTTTTCCCATTCTACTCCTGGGTCATCTTACTTCAGCCTCATTGGCCTCCTGGCTATCCTTGAACAGAGAATCTGCCAGGTATAGTTGGGCTTCAGGAACTTGGTTCTGGCTGTTGATTCTACCAGAAACGTGTTTTTCCCTATTTTCTTTTATGTATTTATTTTTTTCATTTTTTTAAATTATCTTTGGTTATACAAAGGGGTTTCAATTCAACATGAGTTGATGATGTGCAATGCATCTTGATCTTTTAGATCTCTATTTAAAGAGTCCCCCAACAGTGTTTCCTAGGATCATCCCAAAATTTGTATCTAGATTGTACTTATAAGGAAATTCAAACTAAGACAGGAAGTTACATCAGGGGACAGGATCACTCTAACCATGAAGGCCTGGTGGGAGGGGCTGAAGAGAATGGACCAGGGGAAAGGCACACACCAAAGGACATCAGCCAATAAGTGGCCACCGTGGAGCTGAAGCTGTCTCTTCACCAAATCACCTATCTTAGGAAGGGAAGGGGAGATAATTGTCCTTTAGATCCTGATCCCCACCAGTCTTGAGTTGCCATACTATCCATTATTCCAACCATTCTTCTAGGCTAAACATGGGTGGGTAATAGATTGTCCCAAAGGCCCTAGGCAGAAAGCAAGAAGTAGCTGGGTGGCTGAGGTGAGATACTGTCAGATTACCCCAGGGCAGAGCTGGCTCTCCTCTCAGTGGCTGGCATGAAAGGTGAGCCAAGCTGGAAAACTACAGGATTCCCCAGTATAATAAGTGACTATCTTTATTCTAATGTTTTTAAAGATGTGAGAAGATAATATCACCACAGTTACAAGCTTACAAGACTGAGCAAGAATATCTGGATAGATTTAATGTTGTATGTAAATTAACTTTAAATCTGAAAGTATGTTTTGTAACAATGTATAGCCAATAAGGACATGCTCCACATGAGGTATGGATGATAAGCATCAAGTGAAAATCAGTTACTACTAGGTTAAGTAGCATAGTAGAAAAGCTCTAAGGCTAAAAGGAATAGAACTGGGGGGTCCACACCCTTGTCCTGGGCTGGGGGGGGGGGAATGGGGTCAGGATATCAGTGATCCAGATCCTATCTTGCTGACACTACTCCATGAGTCTGGAGTGCAATGAGAATGGGAAGAGAAGGACAGAGCACAGAGTGGGGGCTGGCGGGGGAGGGGGGGGGAAATGGACGACAATATGGTGGTTGGTAGTTCTCAGTCTGTGTCATGGCAGGGGAAGATAAATGTACTCACTATCTTGCCCATGTAATTGTAACTCCTCTGTACAGTATTTTCACAATAAAAAAAAAATAAAAAAAATTTTAAAAATTTTTTTAAAAAATCATGAGATTTCAAGCCAGGTGCCAGTGACCCACTCCCGTAATCCTAGCTACTTAAGAGGCTGAGCTCTGAGAATCATGGTTCAAAGCCAGCCCCAGTAGCAAAATCTGGAAAATTTTTCTCTCCAATTAACCACCAAAAAGCCAGAAGTAGTGCTGTAGCAGAGTGTTAGCCTTGAGCAAAAAAAGCTCAGGGACAATGCCAAGGTCTGGAGTTCAAGCCCTAGCACCAGCAAAAAATTCAAAAGATGAAATTTCAGAGGAAACCTCCTGCCTCCTGCCATTTCTCCTAAACCCTTGCTGAGGTGGCCAAGAAGACCCTATCCAGATTCCACTGGGAGAAAATGAGTGTTCCAAAGAAGCCTCACAAGGCTCCTGTGGAAAGTATGTACAAAGGGTTTTTCCATCCCACGCAGACACAGAGAACTAAGCTAACACCAGAAGGAACTGGAGTGCCAAGTAAACAGAGCAGATGGAAAGCACCTGGGATCAGAACAGTAAGGGACTGCTAGGCAAGCCACAAAAACGGAGACTTAAAAAATGGTAGTCAACAGGCCAGTACCAGCCTGTGGTGCTTAGCATTGCCCCAGCAAATATGAATATATATATATATATTAGATATATACATATATATGTATACAATATTCATACAAATAAAATATATATAAATTAGATATATATACAAATTAGATATATACATGAGTCAATGTTTACAAATTCGATTTTTAAATGAAATCCAAAGTTCTCTTAATTGAAAGTTGGTCCCATTGTATAACTGACCCCACACGAGAACAAAAAGCTGGAGTTAAAGACTGCCTTTTCCTCAATGTCTCCAAAGAGGGACACACACCCCTTCCCACCCCCTCACTAGTCTTTTTCATTAAGAGGAACTCTTTCTTGGTTGCTATGTTAAAAATGGAACAACAAAGACATTTCATTGTTCTTACACTACATCTTCTTCACTTATTAACCTGGACTTTCGAGCCATTGTGTTCATTTGCACTGGAAAATTAGATTAGAAAGGTGGTCACCCAATTTCTTACAGACATGGTGTCCCCGGGACCATAAAGGGTACTTGACCCACAGCAGATATTCAATACTGTTGAGCTGTAGACAGATGGATGATACAGGATTTTTTAAATTAATAGATCATTATCAGCCATAAATTGGATGTTGGCTAATGAGTAGAATTGGGTTTGGGGAGAGGGGGGTGGTTTTTGTTGTTGTTGTTGTTGTTGTTTGATGCTAGGACTGGAGCTTGAACTCAGAGCATGGGCATGGTACCTTAGCTTTTTCTCTCTCTACACTTGTGCCACACCTCTCAGATCTTTCCTTTCCTCAGATCTCAGTCTCATGAGTAGCTAGAGTTATAAGTATGAGTCACCATCACCAAGCTAGAATTCATTTTTATTTTGCATCCATGGACTATTCGCAATGCAATCATATGTATTCAGCAGTTATTTAAAAATGCTAAGCATGACTTTCCCAACACTATACAGTAGCTGCTGGCCATAAGGTTCAATGTATCTTCAGCATTTGTTTAATGTTCAGGAGCTAATTGTCATTTTAATGCTTCTGATACTTTACTGTTCTATTAGTTTCTGTACCATCTTCTTTACTTGAAAAACAAAAACTTCAAAAAAAATCTTGCTCACGCTTAAATGTAAATGACTACTGCCTTCTAAGAGAAAGATATTTCTAATGACTGAACTTTGACTTAGTCCAATTAATCTTCCTCTACCCATCTTATTTACAAAAAAAGTATAATTTCATTACCTGGTTGAAGCTCATTCCTTCTTCCTTCTTCAGTAGATTGAACTAAACTTGCAGCTAATTGAAAAAGAAAAAAATCCATTAGCAATCGATCCATGTAGTGGCTTGTTATGGTTTTATATAGAAATAAATAAAACTTCAAATAATAAAATACAAAGAATTCAATTTTTTTTGGTAGGGATGCCCTACAGACTCTTCATTTCAAATCTAATTTCCAAAAGAATATTTCTCTTCCGGAAAAGCATTGTTATAGAATGATCAAATGTTGCAAAATCCAATACATTAAAATTCTTAAATGGCATAGTTTAGTTCTTGACATGTAGCAGTAAGAGTTCAACTTACCAAGCAATGTTTTCTCACTGTTGATAGAGCCACTAATGACTTGCAAGTCTTTTTCAAAGGTATAAAGATGCTATTAAAACAAAAATAATTAATTTGGAGTTTTATATCAAATGATTATTGCATGGAGATAAATTCCTGTTGAGCCCTGTATCAAGTATTATTGTGGTACAAGATTTTTACCAATGAATCCTCAATTAGTTTATTCATGCTAAAACTTTTTGGATTTTTTTTTTAACAAACAAAATTTGCTGTCAGGCCATATTTGGCAGTGAAACTTATCCATGAGTTGTGATTGAGCTTTAAGTCTTAACTGCCACTTGCTATGTGACTGGACAATTTATTCAAACTCTGCCCCCTTAACATAATACCAGCTGGGCACCAGTGGCTCCTGGCCTGTAATCCTAGCTACTCAGGAGGCTGAGATCTGTGTATCTTAGTTCAAAGCCAGCCAGAGCAGCAAAGTCCATGAGACTCTTATCTCCAATTAACCACCAGAAAACCAGAAGTGGCACTGTGGCTCAAGTTGTAGAGTCCTCACCTTGAGCTGAAGCGTGGAGGGAGAGCTCCCAGGCTGAGAGTTCAAACCTCACCACCGATAAAAACAAACAAACAAGAACATAATACCTGCCTCATGGGATTGAGAGGAGCAAGAGAGATAATGAGCATGAACGACTTAGTAAAACGTGTTCCGCTCATAACAACCACTCAAATATTAGTATTAGAATCATTAAAGTGAAATTTTTTAAGCAAATCACATTATTGACCATCAGTAGTTAAGTCTTAAAGATTGTCAAAGTGCTTTTTGTTTTTACTTAAAGGATTAGCAAAAAAAAAAAAAGTTTCAATATTTAATCTTGTTTTCTCATTGCTGTTTGGAATGTTCAAAATATCAATAGAAGCCAGGCGTAGTGACACATATTTGTAATCTCAGCACTCAAGTGGGTTCAGGGAGGACTGTAAGTCCAAGGCCAACCTAGACTATATAATGAGAGCCTACCTCTCTATTTTTTTGTTGTGTCATGGAGCTTGAACTCTGGGGCTGGGCACTGTCCCAGAACTCTTCAGCTCAAGGAAAACGCTGTATCTCTTGAACCACAGCACCACTTCCGGTTTTCTGGTGGTTAATTGGAGATCAGCGTCTCACAGACGTTCCTGCCAGGGCTTGCTTCTAACTGCGATCCTCAATCCTGAGTAGCTAGCATTACAGGCCTGACCCATCTGTCGTTGTTGTTTGTGGGTCATGGGACTTGAGCCCGGGGCCTGGGTGCTGTCCGTGAGCTTTTTCACTCAAGGCTAGATGCTCTAGCACTTTGAGCCATAGCTCCACTTCTGTTTTTGTTGTTGTTTGTTTGTTTGTTTTGTTTTTGAGTGGTTAATTGGAGATAAGAGTCTCCTGGGGAGTTTTTAGGCCCCGCCCCCCAGCTTTGAACCTTGATCCTCAATTCTCAGCCTTCTAAGAAGCTAGGATCACAGGCACCTGGCTTGGATTCTAATTGTTTGAAAATGAAATAGCCACATAGAAAGAGGATGAGGAAACAATCGATTAAGTTAGGCAAACTCATTTAAAATACACTCAGAGACAGAAGAGAAGATGGAGCCTCAGTCTTCAGGAGAGAACAGGCTGAGAGAAACAGTGAATAGTAGAAGTATTCACAAGGTAATTAATACTTGCAGACTAAAAACATTATTGCGAATACATTAGAGCTGCATAGTCAAAACTTAGTGCCAAGTACCGAGAAGTCAGGAAACACTTAGAAATGAACTCTGAGTTAATAAGAACACACTGAATCTAGTGAAAAAATTTGAGTTTCTTTAACTTATTCTATGGGATTCTAATTTAGAATTAGAAAGAATCATGAGTACACACATGTGTACACTTATTTTAATGTTTAAAACTTTGGATCATAAAGTAACACATGAGCATAGTCTCAATGCTTAAAAAATACAAACATTGCAACTTTTAATGCAACAATAAAAAGTTGAAATCTTATGGTACACTCAGCCATCTCAACTCTATTCCAAAAGGAAGTGTGTTTGTAAATTTATTCTTTAATCTTCCATGTCTTAAAATCATCTCAATATATATTGTACTATTGCACTTGATAGTTTCTTTTCTTCTTTTTGGGGGGAGGGTGAGGAACTGGGGTTTGAACTCAGGGTCTCAGCAGTTCCCCCACTACTTGAACCATGTCCACAGCCTTCTGAGTTTTCTTATAAGCTTTTTACAAAACATAAATGGAATTTATTATCCTGGCAACTCTTTTTCATGTAATAGTGTCAGTATACATCACTGCTTCTTAGATTTTTTTTTTCTTTTTATTTCTTTTTGAGGGGTGTGTGTGTGTGTGTGTGTGTGTGTACCAGTCCTGGGCCTGGGTGCTCCTGAGCTTTTGTGCTTGAGGTAGTACTCTAATACTTAAGTCACAAGATTTTGATGGCTAAATGGAGATAAGAGTCTCACGGATTTTCCTGCTCCGATTGACTTCATTCCTTAAACCTCTTATTTCAGCCTCCTGAGTACCTAGGATTAAAGCAGGAGCCACCTCAACTATCAGTGGTTTCTTAATCCTTGAATGGCCTAATAATTTCAACAACAACAACAAAAAACTACAGACAAGCATTTAACTCACTTCTAAGTATTACAGCAATCCATCCAATGAGCTTTCTTTTTGGGGGGGGGTGGGGGGTGTGTCCGGTTGTGGGGCCTGAACTCTGGGCCTGGGCACTGTCCCTCAGCTCTTCAGCTCAAGGCTAGTGCTCTACCTATTGAGCCACAGCACCACTTCCATCTTTTTTTCTTTTTGCTTATGTGGTGCTGAGGAATCGAACCCAGGGCCTCAGGCATACAAGGCAAGCGTTCTACCACTGAGCCACCTTCCCAGCCCTCCAATGAGCTTTCATTGGAGAAATAAGAGAGGAAAAAATAAGGCAAGGTTTTTTTTTTAAGACATTTAAAAAAAATAGTAGCTGATGACTGCAAATGCTCCATACTGAACAAAAGACATCAGATTCTACAAGCTATGTGAACCCCTCACAGGAAAGACCCAAACAAATCCAAAGAGACAAATTCAAATCAATGGTCAGAAAATAAAAGACAAAAAAGATCTTTTTTGGAAATTAGAAAAGAAAAATGACACAGTAAGTTTGGGAGGAGCAAGCTTAAGTGACAGCAGTTCTCACAAGCACCCACGGGAGCCCAGGAGGAAATGACACAACAGGTTTCCGGTGCTGCAAGGAAAGAACTGTCGATTTGGCTTCTATATTTCAGGAAGAAATATAAATATATGTCAATAATAAATTATGCTTCAAAAATAAAGATAAATATACTCCAGGGATAAAAGAAGACATATTCAGATGACCGGGAAACTGTAAGAAAAAGCCATCAACATACCCTAAAATAATGAGTAAAACAAATTCTTAGAAAACAAAGGAAATGATTGTTCAACAAAAGGAATCAGACCTATGAGGAAGGAAGAAAGAACAATAGAAAGAGCAAAAATATGGGTAAAACATTTGACTTCCTTTCTTTTATGTTTTTCTAAATTAGGGTTTGACAATAAAGGAAAAAAGGATATCATATAATCAAATGGGGATCTTTACAAATGAACAGAGGGTAGGGTGGTAAGAGTGGTAAGAGTTCTTGCCTACATTGTGCCAGCTTCTGGGTTCAACCAAAATTTAAAAAATTAAATGTTAAGAAAAATAAAACATAAATTTTCTTTTAAAAAAAAAGAGAAAATATGGAGGCAAGTTTAAATTTAATAAAGGAAATTTGATACAGGAAGCCAAACAGACTAAACAGAAGGCAAGCGTCCCACAGAACTAGAACAACGTCAACAATAGATCAATGAAACTACAGTATGATATATGCAGGTGTGTTATCCAGTCATGAAAATCCTTTACGCTGAGTGTGGATAGAAGAGGTGGAAAAAGAGGAAAACATGGGAGAATTAGCCCAGCAGCATATTAAAAACCTAAAGGGAAGAATAGCCTATAAGAAATTTGGGGGCTGGGAAGGTGGCTCAGTGGTAGAGCGCTTGCCTTGCATGCATGAGGCCCTGGGTTCGATTCCTCAGCACCACATAAGCAAAAAAGCTGGAAGTGGTGCTGTGGCTCAAGTGGTAGAGTGTTTGCCTTGAGCTGAAAAGCTGAGGGACAGTGCCCATGCCCAGAGTTCAGGCCCCACAACCGGACCCAAAAAAAAAAAAAAAAAAAAAAGAAATTTGGAATTGACAAAGTACATTTAAGTTGGAGGATGTCTGTGACAAACTGAGTCCTGCCCATGCCCTTCTACTGCCCTATGAATTAGACAACATTGTCTATACCAACCAATGCCTTAAGTTTCTCACCTGGATTGTTAAGAAGACAAGTAAAGAACACACGGAAGCAGAAAGACCAGAGGGTATTGTGAAATGCTCAGGACACAAATCAGGGCTAGGGCACTGGACTTCCTGCATTCTTTTCTCAAACAGAATACTGGACATTTTGATTTGAGCCAATGTACTTAAGTCTCAGTTGACAAGACTTTAAGGTGCAAGTGAGAGGAGACAGGGGGAGGGAGAAGAAAGGGGGAAAAGAGGGAGAGAGAGAAACTGGGAGAAAAATTTAAAAGTAAGAGAAAGAAGGCAAAGAGATAAATTTTTAGAGAGTGAGATGAGTTTTATATCTAGAAAACAGATGAGGCAAAAGAAGAAAACTAACAGTAATAAAAATCATATGTTTTACATTTATATATCATTATATATTTATATTTTAATAAAGTCTGTTTTTATTACTAAAAGTAATATAACTAAAAGTAGATAGATTTTTATCTATGATTTGTGGTGATTTTTACCTTGTTCTGTTTGGTTTGGCAATCATAGAATCCAAAGATGACATTTCTTTTATCATCCTAAAAACATTTTAAAAAGATGTTTAGATAGCATTGTTTACAAAATTGTCAGTAGCTTTAAAATAAACTTGCAATAAGCCAAGCACCAGTAGCTCATGCCTGTAATCCCTGCTACTGAGGAGGCTGAGAATTGAGGATTAAGTTTCAAAGCCAGCCCCAGTGTAGAAAGTTCTTGAGACTCTTATCTCCAATAAATCACCAAAGAAGCTGGAAGTGGAGCTCAAGTGGTAGAGGAGTAGCCTTGAGCAACAAAGCTCAGGGACAGTACCCAGGACCAGAGTTCAAGCTCCAGGATTAGCACCAAAAAACAAAATGAAATAAAAGTGCAATAATTCATCTAGTCTTAGCAATAAGCACACGAAGAAAAGCTTGCTGTACATGTCAAAAAGACACAGAAACTGACCCAGCTACCTGTTTGGGCACACTGAGGAAAATAGATCAATACTTCTAGCTTAGCACTTCGGAGACCTGTCTAGTAGGATTGAGCATGATGAAAAAGAAAAATCCTTTTGTGTCTTTAAGGAGATATATATGATGGATAATAAGATTGGCTAGAACAAATCCACAACATCCTTCTAAATGAAACTTTTGAATCAGGTGATACTTTAAATGCACCATCCTTAGATATAACTTAGGAACTTTTTTATCTAACAGGAAAAAATGCACAGAAGTACATGTGTGCAAACTGCTATTAGAACTATTCTTTCATGTATCCTATTAGAGTTATCAATAAAGTTGAATTTCTCTTAGAAAACTGAATATTGAAAACATGAGTAATCGCTCAAAAATCTAACTCTGAATATAAGTATTTAATAACTTCTCAAAGGGAAAATTTTAACACAATTTGGCTTGAAATTTTTTATTTGTCTAGAAAATAAAATTTTTCATTTACTGAAAAGTTTTAAATGTCAGATATGTTGGTTACTTACTTCCTAAAACGGAAAAAATGAATCATGTAATACAGTACCATATATACAAAAGCAAGGTCATATGTTAAATGTTAACACCAACAAGTTTTATCCATTGCCTATCAACAAAGTATAGCCTTGAATTCTGTAAAAAGAAAGTATAGTTAAAATATTAAATGTTATGTTTATATATATATATACTACAATACATGTACCTTATAGGTATAAATAATATTCCCATTTCTTTCAACGTTTAGTACACGTAAGCTCTCATAATTTGTCTCCCATACATCTGAAATAAAATAACAAAAAGTTAGAACATAAAAGATGTTTAAAACATACTAACACCAGACATAAGGGTTCATAGTTATAATTCTGGCTACTTAGTAGGTTGTAGGATTGAGGAGGAATGAAGTTCTAGACAAACATGGGCAAAAAAGTTCACCTTATCTATCATATTTGAAGTGAGAACAGCCATGACCTTCAGGGAACAGCAAAACCACAGGATTGGGGAGGTCTCCCTGTGATGAGCTGGAAGGTTGTATACCACAAATACAGGAGAAGCTCACCACAATAACTCATTGAGCTACATATATTCTCTTGAATGTCATTTATGTGTCAATAAATTTCAAATTTCTCCTAGTTCTGGCTTTGTGGATTTCAAGACTATATCACTAGAAGCATACAAACCTAGAACTAGTATAGCTTCCTGGTAGGTTAATTTCTGTGAGGCACTCAACCGAGCTGTCAGGTGTCTAGGTGGTTACTTAACAATAGAAAAAAAAAAACAGTTGGATTCTTAATCTCTTACTAGAAGCAAGAGGGAAAACTACAGCAAGTGCCTGCTTCCCTGTCCCATTTCCCTATAAGATGTAGTATTTGGTGAAGGATCCAGATGAAGGAATCTTGCTATCAAAAGGCCCATACCACCATCACCAAAGTCTCCCGGACACAAGAGTAGGAGGAGAGAAGGAGGAGAGGTAAGCATAGAAAAGTCTGCAAAGAAAAAAATATGACATTAAAGTTCTCCTCTCCCCCTTGCTAAAAGGGTTGGTTCTGAAAGTCTCTATGAAAGTCTCTAGAAGCCTCTGTGAAAGAACCTTCTAAATGAGAACATCTGGTTGGAAATGCAGCTATGTGTTAAGTATGGCCAACCAAGTATAATCCCAGATTTTTGGCAGGAGGATCATTTGAGCTCAGGAGTCCAAGACTGGCCCTGGGTAGCATAGCTAGTCCCTGTCTCAGGAAAAACAGTAACAACAACAATGACCCAAAAAAAACCACAAACAGGGGCTGGGAAGGTGGCTCAGTGGTAGAGCGCTTGCCTTGCATGCTTGAGGCCCTGGGTTTGATTCCCCAGCACCACATAAGCAAAAAGAAAAAAGCCGGAAGTGGTGCTGTGGCTCAGGTGGTAGAGCACTAGCCTTGAGCTGAAGAGCTGAGGGACAGCGCCCAGGCCCAGAGTTCAGGCCCACTACCAGACCCAAAAAAAAAAAACCCCACAAACAAAAACAAAAAACCTGTAGTCTATTGAAACAATGGAATATAGTCTAATGAGAGGTTTAACCTATGACCTATGGTACTACATCAGATAACTGAACAAAATAAAGACAAATCTTCCCCATAATCACTTAACCCCCAGTTTATATACACGTCTAAGAACAGACAAAATTCACACATTGCTCCATGAAACACTGCTGGAGGCAGGAGGGACCTCTGGCATAATGTTTTCTTATTCCTCTGAGTTTAGCTTCCTGAGAATTAAGCTGTGCATTTAGATTTTGTTACTTTTCTCTACGAAAGTTACCTTTTAAAGAAAAACAAAAACTCTTAGTATGAAACATTTTGTGTATAATAATAATTATTAACTAGCGAGAAATGTATAGTTTCACAATTCCCTGAAAAAGCTGTCAAATATTAAATTCCTTAAACTTGACTGAGTTTTCCCTACACAAATAATCTTTTTTAGATGTTAAACTTCTATATCATTAAGGACATACTCAAATGTTCAGATAAAACATATACAAAGTTTCTCAAACTCAGTGAATTTCAGTTTGTATTTTTAATTCAAAGGGGTTGGGTGGGGGGAGGCAGCCTAGAACTGGGCTGATTGGTGAACTGGACACCTATCTGCATTGGCGCCAGGAAAGGAAAGAGAACACTCATCACTGTGGCATTGCTCACCCTGACCCTGCCCCAACAGCCGCTTTCTGGATCATTTGGGGTAGATCAACAGGCAGGAGCAAGTGTTTCTATACACAGATACGTGTATTCTTCAGGATGTAGCAAACTGTCAGACACACTCCACACTGCTTTTTTCTTAGTAGAACAAGATCCAATTAGCTTGTGCTAAATAGCACTTCCCAATTTAAGTTTCCATTTTTATGTCACCCACACGGTGTGTGAGGAACTGCAGGCCCATTGCATTGATGGGACAATAGAGCTTCTGTGTGGTGATCAATATCACACAATGACAAGGTAATGCAGACTTCTCTCATAGAAAACGGTAAACATAACAATGAGCTAAGTGTTCTGAACCAAGCTTACCACAAGAAAATGGAGTCTTACTCAAAAATCCTTTTTTAGATGGGTTTTGTAAACATCTAAAGAGAATTTCAGTAAATTGCTTTTCATCCTACACATGACTCAAAACTTAAGGAATGCAATGTGTCAATGTTTTGAAAGTATTTTTTTCCTTTCAAGATTATAAGGACACTCGGACCGACTTTCTCAAAAGTACACTTCAAAAGATTTCAGCTAAGAAACTCCTTTGCAAGAAATCTCGCTAAGAGAATCCAACTTTCTTAAAAGACACATCTTAAAAAAATTACCAACAAAGACAACATGTTTTCTTAAGACTACTGATGCATCAGGCCCAACTACAGACATTCTGATCATATTGAGCTAGAATTTTTTTTTTGTCGGTTGTGGGGCTTGAAGTCTGGGATTGGGCACTGTCCCTCAGCTCTTCAGCTCAAGGCTAGCGCTCTACCACTTGAGCTACAGCGCCACTTCTGGTTTTCTGGTGGTTTATTGGAGATAAGAGTTTCACCGACTTTCCTGCTCGGGGGCTGGCTTTGAACCAGGTTCCTCAGATCTCAGCCTCCTGAGTAGCTAGGATTACAGACGTGAGCCACCGGCACCCGGCTGGAGCCCTCTCTCTTATGTGGGTGCTTTCAAATCCCCAAAGTGATTCAATCAGGGTTGAAAACCAATAAATAATGTCTTTGCATTATATATGAAGCAACAGTCATTAGCGAGCATAATGAAGACCTGCATAGGATGTATGGTAGAGTTGGAAAAAAAAATTTTTTTTTTTTTTTGGGTCCGGTCGTGGGGCCTGAACTCTGGGCCTGGGCACTGTCCCTCAGCTCTTCAGCTCAAGGCGAGCGCTCTACCACTTGAGCCACAGCGCCACTTCCGGCTTTTTTCTTTTTGCTTATGAGGTGCTGAGGAATCGAACCCAGGGCCTCATGCATGCAAGGCAAGCGCTCTACTACTGAGACACCTTCCCAGCCCGAGTTGGAAAAATTTTAAATAACACCTTCATGGGTACATTAGTCAATGCTAACCCTGTGGCTCCATATATGGCTCATATTTTAAGAATATTTGAAATAGAAACATTTGGCAATGTTGGAAATTCAGAGACAATTATCTCACCGCACACTGTTAGCCCACTGGCCCTGCCTCCCTGAATGCCTTACTCATAGTTTAACACACCCTTCTCAAAGAAGTATCCAGTAACCTCTCTGCTTATTCATTCTGACTCTTCTCCCAGTGGTTCAACTCTGGAAAGCCCAGAAAAGGAAGTTAAGCAATTTCAAAGGAGGAAATGTAGCTTAATTTCACAGTTCAGTGTAGTTGGTTCTCACAAAGAAAAAAAAACACCAGTTTTTATAAGATGTTTCATAAATAAACCTACTACAAAAAAGAGATAAAGTAAGCAGATGCTAGTTTTCCAGATAGTCATTTTACAGGAAGATGTTTGCCAAGTATATAAATTTTATGCCAAACTGCTGTGAGACCAAAAAAGAAAAAGAGAAGAAAAGTGTTTTCCATCTTTGTAATGGCAATACTTGCCAAAGAAGAGGGAATCATATAGTCTTATTAAAATTTTTGAATGAATTCCCAAATACTTAGATGCAGGGGTGATAAAATATGGTTGTACCTGTGACACTCCTACTCTGTAAATAATTTACTCAGGTCCCCAGGCTCAGTATGAGTAGCTATGAAGAAAAAATATGATGTGATTTGTACCTCACATTCTAAATGAGAAAAGGAAAGATGAGATAATTAAGAATCAAAAACAGGAAGTGGTGCTGTGGCTTAAGTGGTAGAGTGCTTGCCTTGTGCTGAAGAGCTGAGGGACAGCGCCCAAGCCCAGAGTTCAAGCCCCAGGAAAAAAAAAAAAGAATCAAATATAGAAGAACAAAGAATTGAAACAGGAGACTAAGGAAGTTGAGAAGGAAACATAAACAGGAAAGACCTAGGCAAGAGAATGGGAAACAAATGAGAACAACAGCATGACTAAGAGAATTACTCTCTGACTACACCGCCCCCCAATCCATCTTGGGGGTATATAAGAACAGCAAAAGGAACACTTAGATTTAAATCAGTCACCTGGACAACTATACCTCTTTCCCTGGCAAAGATAACCATCTGTTAGACACATTGACTTAAGACTATAATCCTAGCTACTTGGGAGATTGACATTGACATTGACTGCAGTTTGACCCAGACTAGGTAAAGAATTTATTTCAACAGATAAAAAGCTGGGTGACACATGCCCTTCAGTAGATGAATGGATCAAGAATATGCAATATATATATATATATATATATATATATATATATATATATATATATATATATCAGAAAGAATGACACCGCGCCCCATTTGTTAGGAAATGGAAAGACTTGAAAAAAATTATATTAAGTGAAGTAAGCCAGGCCTAAAGAAACATAGGTCTCATGGTTTCCCTTATTTGCAATAGCTAGTATATGTCTAGGGCAAGCAGAAAAAATCAAAAGCTATGTACATATGACCATATAAGATGATGCTAAGCAAAATGAACTCCAAGATAGGGACACAAGTGGTTTTATCTTTCATGTTGTTTTTAATGCACTTATATGTGCACTTATATGTGTGTTTTTTTTTTGTTTCTTTTGTATGTTCCTCCCCCATGGTATAACCCCTGTTTTCACTGTATTTGATTCCGGTGCCCTGCATCTTGTGTATACATTTTTCTAATTTGGGGAAGAAAAGGGAAATAACAAAATACTGGAATAAGGACACAGGTTGACCCATTGTAACAATGAGATGTACAATACACTATGTTGAAAACAAATTTTACAACTTCGAGGGGCGGGAAGGAGTTGGGAAGGTAGGAGGGAAGGGATGGTAGGGGAAAAACAAAGGAAGGGGTAACAATGCTCCATAGGAAATGTGCTCATTATCTTACTCATGTAACTGTAACCCCTCTGTGCAGTATCTTTACAATAAAAAATACATATTAAAAAAAAAAGCTGAGTGAAGTGGTTCTTGTCTATTATTATCTCAGCTACATAGAAAGTGTGGATAAGAGAGTCATGGTCCAGGAGCTGGGAAGGTGGCTCAATGGTAGAGTGCTTGCCTTGCATCCATGAGGCCCTGAGTTCAATTCCTCAGCAACACATAAGCAGAAAAAGCTGGAAGTGGTGTTGTGGCACAAGTGGTAGAGCGCTAGCCTTGAGCTGAAGAGCTGAGGGACAGCACCCAGGCCCAGAGTTCAGCCCCACGACCGGACCCCCCCCCCCAAAAAAAAAAGAGAAAGAATCACGGTCCAGGTTGACACAGACAGAATCATATAAGATAGATGGTCCCTGACTTACAATGATCCAATTTAGTATTTTGGTTTGGTTTAGTTTTGTTTTACTTTACAAAGGCATTAAAGCAAGTAGAATTGAAGCCATACCTTGAATTCTGAATACAGTAGGATGCTGTCTTGTGGTGCTAGGCAATGATAGCAAGCTATACCTCCCAGTCAGCCACAATCCTGAGGATCAACAACCTGTATTCTACAGAGTACTGTGTTGTTAAGCTAGGATGCTTAGTAAGTTAGGCGTATTAAATGAACCTTTTTGTGTGGTATGGAAGTTTTGTCTTAGGGCTCACACTTGCTAACATGAGCATGCCTCAAGCCCCTATGTATTTTTGACAGGATATTTTCAACATCTGTAAAATGAAGTAGTGAGTATCTATGGTTTTAAAATCATCAACTATAAGTAACATACATTCAAATACTCTTATTTATTCATTTTTATATTTAAGAACAATGTTTTTTCTCTTTTTTTTTCAGGCAAGACTATTTTCCCAACACAGAACCAAGCGTAGATGCATGAGCCAAAACTAGCCTCCTAAGTCCTCTAGCCCTTATTGACTGTTATGCTCGCTTAGAATCAGCCAACAGCTGACAGCCTGCTCCTGCCTGTTTTACCAGGACTATGCCAGACTTAAAGAGAATTGCTCAGCACCAGTAAGAAATCTTCATTTGGATTTGTTAGTGTAAAAATATGAAGACTCTGGGATGGGGCATGGCTCAAGTAATAGAGCACCTGCCTAGCAATTATAAAGCCCTGAGTTCAAACCCCAGGTACCACAAAAAGAAAGAAAAAGTAAAAAAAAGAGAAAAATTGCAGAAAAATATTAAGAATTCAAATTAGGAAAGCAAGTGTTAAAACAAGGTGCATTAAAATGCTATAGTTGGAAAGCTGCAAAAAATAGTATTAGTTATTTATATTTGAAAAGCATAAAAAGTAAGTAATATTGTGCCACTGTGCTCTGAATGAGCATAATGCCATTAATATTGGAAAAATTAGTATTTCTAGTAAATTTACCTTCTGAGGATACCCAGGGGTACCTTTATTTTTTAGTGGAGTATCAATATGCAAGTTTACAATTCTTCACAGATAAGCAAAAGATACAAACTCCAACAGGGTCACACACAGCTTTTTGATCACAACACCCATCACTGAAACATGAGTGTGGCATTTCACACTTATCTGACTTCTCATTTGCAGACACCTGTCACGTAGAAAATAAGGTGTGCATTCTGAGTGGGCATACTCCTGGGTGGTAGAAAACAGACTTAGAGCTGCCTGCAGTATTCCGAAAAGCTAAGTCTTGGAGACCTATTTAAACATGCAGATCCTCTTCCTTGCCCCCTATGGAAAGTAAAACTTTATTCATAATGACACTAACAACAAATTCAGGCTGCTACACATAGCTAATATTGTGGAACTAACAACCCACAGGCCAAGACAAGGAACCTTGCACATAATTCTACTAAAGCTCATGCTAGTGTGCAGATAGATATAAAGCAGCAATGAAGTTGAGTAATTTGATGCCTGTTCATTCACACATGTACGAATAGTCTACAGTGTGCAAGTGGACAGCTCTTGCACAGGGGGAAACCTTAGGAACACACACATACACACACGTACACACACACCCCTCTTGTTTAAAGTAGATCAACACTGGCCTCCTGGTCACTTTTCACTCATCTCCAGAATCAAAACAGAGATGTGGGCAGCAGCCTCAGCAGATGGGCTCGATTTCAAATTTCGGGGATGAGGGGAGAGGGAGTCTGGGCATCCTTGTGGGGTGCTGAGCGCTCGAAGGCTTTAGACAACAGGCTGTCTTCCCTGCGCCCAGCTTGGAAAAGACCCCCGCCCACGGGACAGACCCCCACCCACTGTGCTTCCCATCTGCCACACAGACACAAAAACGGGGCCTCACAAAGGTTCAGCAAACTCCAAACCACTCGAGTTCCCCTTCTTTCCAGTAGATCGGGCCGGGAAGGCGCGCGCGCGCACGCGCACACGCTCACAAATCACAGTCGAGCTCAAACGGCGCAAAGGTTAAAATATTTATATGATGGTTTTCTTGGTGACCATAATTCCGTTTTGAGGTGTGTGTGTGTGTGTGTGTGTGTGTGTGTGTGTGTGTGTGCGTGCGTGCGTGCGCGTGCGCGCTCTAAAGCCTTTCCAGTTGGAGGAGCCCCTGGTCCGGCAGAGCCCCCAGGGCTGGTGAAGTGTGAACAAGCCCCCTGGCTTCCGCAGCCGCCTCCCCCTCTCCCACCCCACTTGTCCCCCACGAAGCGACGCCACTCAGGGGGGTGCCGCCAGTGTCCCCGGACTTTCTGCGGGGCTGAGGGTTTTGTTGTTGTTCCTGTTACCGTTGGGGGGGGGGGCGCAGCACGGGGGGCGCTGGCGGGCTCGCTAGAAGAGACCGCGTAGCCCAACCACGACCTTTACCGGTTGGCCCTGGGTGACACCGCCAAGCCGAGAAGCCGGGGCGACAGAGGGACGCTCAACCTCTAGGCACCAACCTTCACAGATTACCGGCGCGAGGAGGAAAACGCGGAGGGCGGGGGTGCCTCCGCTGGGTCGGTGTCCCCCACCCCATGCACCCCAGCCTCCGGGTATAAATGAATCTGCCTCCTCGTCCCCACCAGTCCCCTAACCGGGACACGCGCGCGCCCGGGCACCTGCGCCGCCGCCTTCCGCGCCCTGCGCCCGCAGCCAGGGGAGCACGTCTTTCCGGAGATCGAAATCTACGACCAGACGGAGAGCCATCACCAGCACGCAGCCCCGAGGCGGACATCCCCGGCCCGGTCACCACCTTCCTTCCACCCCGAGACCGCCCTCTCTCCTTCCTCCCACCCCCCACCCGAGTCACCGCGGCCACTTTCGGTTTTACCCCGAGGCCAGGGCGCCGCCTCCTCCCGGCAGGCAGCCTTCACCCCCGAAACGGACAGAGGATCAAAGGGGGGGGGGGGTGATCTGGGCCTTGAAGAAGGAGCTGGCTTCCTAAAGTGACTAAACGTCGGAGCGGCAGGAAGCTTGCTCTTCTGTAGCCCCCAAGTGCTTTCCCTGTGCGAGGAAACACACCCGCGAAGGCCGGCGGTCACCAGGGGGGGGGGTGCCCATTCAACCTGGCTTGGGGTGAGCGTGCTTTCTGCGCGCGTGTAGGTTCTTTTTTTTTTTTTTTATTGTGAAAATACTGTACAGAGGGGTTACAATTACACGGGCAAGATAATGAGTACATTTCTTATCAAGCATTGCAGTATCCTCCTTTGTTTCCCCTTCCCATCCCTTCCCAGCAACCCCCCACCTCCCACCCAATCCCCCCCCCCAAAGTTGTAAAGTTCGTTTTCGACGTGACAACTTGTACTTCTCATTGCTGCCACGGGTCCACCTGTATCCTTATTTAAACGACTTGTTTTTCCCCTTCCCCTCCACAAATTATACCGACATCAAATAGAGTGAAAGCAGGGGTTATAAGTTGCAGCTGGAGCAGGTGAAGAACAGTTCTAGGGTCATGGAGACCGGACAGGGTTTATTCAGCGTGCCACCCACAGGAGGACTTCCAGCCCCTCCACGGGCTGGAGGAGGCCGAATGCTCTAGGATTCATCTCCCACGGATGCCTGGGCACCTTTCCCATCGCTTCCCTCTTCTTACAAATAGGATTTATTTTGTTATTTTGTTAGTCTGGCCTTTCCAATGGTCTCCTTTCAGGACTTGCACCACTGGGAAGTTGCTGTGATCTTAGCGTTGTCAGATCCAGTCTATCCAGAACACTAAAGCTAGCTTATTGTTCTTCCTAACACTGAGCTAGCCTCTTGTTTCGGTGGTGCCGAAGACCTTGAGGAGCCACTTCCTGCCCCAGAATAAAGTGTCTGCTCTACCTAGAACTTCACCTCCCAAGGCCGTTGACCTGGTTTTCAGAAGTCCATTCTACACTCCTTCCTCCTAGAAAAATCTCGAGATCTCCAGATCTTTCCAGCCCAGCTCCATGGAGCCTTCTCCTCACTCCTGCAGCCCACAGTGACCTCACCCCTGAACTCCAAGAGTGTTTATGCTAGAACAGCTCATTGGACATAAAAATTCCATCTTGAGGCCGAACTCCAGTAGCTCAGGCCTACAATCCTAGCTACACGGGAGGCTGAGATCTGAGGATCACAGTTTGAAGCCAGCCCAGGCAGGAGAGGCTGTGAGACTCTTGTCTCCAATTAACTACCAGAAAAACAGAAGTGGAGCTGTGGCTCAAAGTGGTAGAGTGCTTGCTAGCTTTGAGTAAAAAAGCTCAGGGACAGTGCCCAGGTCCTGAGTTCAAGCCCCACATTCGACAAAAAATAAATGAATGAATGAATGAATGATTTTGTGTCTTGGGACAGCTCCTGCCCACACCAGGGGTTGACAGAGCACCCCAGGAGAGATCCCATACTTGAGGGAAGAACCAGTGAATACAGCAAAGAAGAATGCCTTTTCACTTGTTTACCAAAGTCAAGGTTACCACAGCACCTGCACTGGTGTTGTCTGAGATGTTATTTTACAATGCAAACTCCCAGTCTCAAAGTCTAGACATGTGCAAGACTTCCAGATGTTTTAGCCAAAGCCTCAGATGCATTAGTCTTGCTAGGGTTTGATAACTCCTCTTAATAAAATAGAATTAATAATATAAAATCTTAATTTTCCCCCTCAAAACATGTTTCTCCGAGGAAGGTAACAGATACATTTCAGACAGAATCTCACTATTCACACACACACACACACACACACAGGAAAAGGCTCCCACTTGAAATTTGCTTTATAATTTCAGAGCAATCTAAGGCTAGTATTTGCTGTGACTAACAAGAAAGCCATGAGAAGTTACCATGACTAATATTTTCTATCACATAAAGCTTGTCACCTTGGTTATGCAGAAGTGTCCTCATTTGACTATTTTTAAAATTCACTCTTTCCATTGTGTTTATTTTTGCAGTTTAACTTCTAGTTCCCTTAAGCAAGACTGATTTTATAATCATGCAGCGGTGATACAAAGATTCTCTTCAAAATAAATTTAAGTTAAAAGAAAAAGGTAAAGAAGGCAAGAAATAGTAACCAAGATAAAATGTGGCCAAAAACCACAAAGCTGCTGTTTGAGTGTCTGAACTTTAGAGATTAGTAAAGAGACTGGACAGGGTTAAGTGTGCTGGTGGTGCTTTTTTTCAACTCTAGGCAAACTGGGGAGTGTTGTTATTCTTTATGTAAATTGCTGCCTTGTAAAGCAGATTTGTAAGGGCATTATTTAGCCTGGAGCTGGTAGCTCACACCTGTAATCCTAGCTACTCAGGAAGCTGAGACCTGAGGATTACAGTTTGAAGCAACCCTGGGCAGGAAAGTCCATGAGACTGTTATCTCCAATTGCCCAGCAGAAAAACTGTAAGTGGTGCTGTGGCTTTAAGTGGTAGAGCACTAGCCTTGAACAAAAAAGCTCAGGGACAGTGCCCAGGCCTTGAGTTCAGGCCCCACAACCAATAAAAAATAAAAAAAAAATAAAAATAAAGGCCTTATAAGGGCCATTAAACACTGACACTTGTTTTCATGGGAAGTAGAAATATTTCTGCCTCTTAGGAATTTGGGGTGGGGGTGGGGGTGCTTGCTTGTTTGCTTTCTTTTTTTCCTGATCTGGGATTGAGATCAGGGCCTTGGGTATGCTGGCAAGCACTCTGCCTCTGAGCTACATCCTCAACCCTTGTTGTTGTTTTTAAGACAAAGTCTCACTGTGTAGTGCAGACTGGCCTCAAATTCCTCCTATGTGCGGGAATTACAGGCACATATCACTACGCGTTTCACCTATCACTGTGCCTGGTTGCTTCTTGGGGATTTTAGAAATAAACCCTCATCTTCCTTAAATCGGAAAAGAAGATGTAATCAGAAAGTTAAAGATTTCATAATCTCAACAAAGGTGTCTGTCTAGTCTTGGTTGTAGCAAGTTAACAGCCAATGTTTTGTTATCAGGAGGGTGGGGCAGTGAACTCAGAGCCTTGCCTTACTAGGCAGGCGTTCTACAACTTGAGCTACTTCCCTAGCCCATAGTGGAGTGGCTAAGTTGCCTTCCTGGTTGGCTGTGATTCTGGGACCACTCAAGAAATAACGAAGTGTTGTTTTCTTAAAATAGCTAATGTTTTTTGGTAAGTTCATGCTAGGGTTTTAGGTTGACTCTACCTGACCCCCACCCCACCCCACCCCTGCACTGATCCCCCAATGCTGGGGATCAAACCTAGTGCCTAAATTCATAATTGCCTGGCATGCTACATCTTGCACTCAAATTGTTATATTTAAATAAAACAAGAAGAATTGGAAATGTGGACTGAGAAAATCATTTGTATGTAGAAGATAACTTATTTAACAGAGACATTACAATGAAAAGTTCTATTGGATTCTTGGTGACTTACAGGTGTAATCCTAGCTTCAGGAGGCTGAGGTCTGAAGATCATGGTTCAAAGCCAGCCCAGGCAGGAAAGTCCATAAGACTCTTATCTCCAATTAACTAGCAAAAAAAAGCTGGAAGTTGAGGTGTGACTCAAACGGCAGAGTATCAGCCTTAAGTGAAAAAGCCAAGGAAGGGTGTCAAACCCTGATTTCAAGACCTCTTACGAGCACCAAAAGAAAAAAAGGAAAAGGAAAGAAGGAAGGAAGGAAGGAAAGAAGGAAGGAAGGAATTGATTCTGAAGGAGATAGAGACTGGCCTATTCAATAAAATCAAATCCAAATTAGAACAGAGAATACAGTTTAAAATTTTATTAATAATCCCATATGTGCTGAAATGGAATTTTATCAACTGAACGACAAACCTTGCATTTTAGAAACAACGTTTTTGAAAGGACAGGAATTTTTTTTAACTAGAATTAATGGAAATTGCATAACTACTCATTTGAATTTACAGGGTTCATAGTAAACTTACTTCGTATTTTCCAAAAAATAATTATTCTAAACTTTGTAACAAGAGGGGCTGGGAAGGTGGCTCAGTGGTAGAGCACTTGCCTTGCATGCTCGAGGCCCTGGGTTCGATTCCTCAGCACCACATAAGAAAAAAAAAAAACTTTGTAACAAGAATGCTGTAGACTTACAGTAAGGAAACTTCTCATGTAGATATTCAGAGCATTGCTTCTCTATAGTCATTTATTTTATTCGTGCCAGTCCTTGGTCTTGAACTCAGGACCTGGCACTGTCCCTAAGCTCCTTTTGCTCAAGGCTAGCACTCTACCACTTGATCCACAGCTCCATTTCCCTTTTATTTCTAAGTAGTTTATTAGAGATAAAAGTCTCAGGGACTTTCCTAACCAAGCTGGCTTCCAACCTCAATCCTCAAATAGCCTCCTGAGCAGGTGGAATCACAGGTGTGACACACTGATACCCATCGGTCCATGATTTTTCATAGAAATACAAGGGAACCAGCATTTAGTGAGACAGTCATTGTGACTTTGCAAAGTGAATTGCACTAGGCAGGTGGCAACAGGGCCTCTTGCCAGGAATTGGTTCAGGAATAAGCACATGTATAAGTTAGGATTAAGTTCACTAGAAGTTAATAAAAACTCAAATTAACAGCAAATTAAATACACAAAGCTTTATTCTCTTACCCATTTGGAGATGATAGTCCAAAGCTCAGAGGGCAAATCCCAGAAGTCACCAGGGTCCCAAGTTCTTTCCAGTTTTTCTTTCAACCAAACCTTGATCATACTCTTGTCAGAGTCCACAATGACTGTAAAAGATTTAACCATCATGTGCCTGCCTTCCTTCCTTCCTTCCTTCCTTCCTTCCTTCCTTCCTTCCTTCCTTCCGTCCTTCCTTCCATCCTTCCTTCCTCCCTCCCTCCTATC